ATATATATATAGTACTCTTCTTCTAGGCTAGAGTTGTAATTTATATATATATATATATATATATATATATATATATGTATGTATGTATAAGGTCCATACTCTGGCTTGGAAGAAGAGTAATATATCTATATATAAGGTCCATACTCTGGCCTGAAATGAGAGTAATATATATATATATATATATATATATATAAGGTCCATACTTTGGCCTGAAATGAGAGTAATATATATCTATAGTACTCTCTTTCTAGGCTAGAGTATGGACATTATATAATAATGTATATAATGTACATAATGTACATACTCTAGTCTAGAAGGAGCGTACTATATCATATAAGGTTCATACGCTGGCCTAGAAGGAGAGTACTATATTTTAATACCTGTAAAGCTAAAAGTTATATGTAAATGAAGTTTAATTGAGGTTATCAGATAATATTTATTTATATTACTCTGATATAGTGGTGTTGCATTCACCGGGTTTTAAACTCACTCTTTCCATATCTATATTTTTTATGTTCAAAGTTTAGTTGCCACTGCCAAGTCGATCTAGAGTCTTGGGTGTAAATGGGGGAAAGGAACAACATAAAGTCTTTTATATAAAATGTAATTATGGTAGTAAAATTTGGTAGTATAACTTGTAAGTAACAGTTTAGTTTTGTTAGAACTCATATATTGGGCTTATAGTTGTTTTTAATTATAAACTGTTAAGTAAGAACTCTGATGTATAATGACGTCAAGTATGTATATAAGGTTAATGCAGATGGTTAGATGCATTTCAATTATTCAATTTCTTAAATAGTGTAAATTGGATTGAAGTGTGTCAAAAGTGGACTATTATTTTGGAACAGATGAAGTATGTCAAAAGCTAAACAATCGGATAATATAATTAATTATACTAAGATTATATAAGAATAATCAAACGTATGACTTAAGATTATTGGGTGTGAAAGCAAAAGAATTAATGTGCAAAAGTTTAGAGGAGGTTGGCATGACTTATAATTAAGTTTACTGACGAAGATGTCTATGTTAAATGAACCATTAGTTTTTTATTTTTTCTCCTTCTCAATATTTAAAGACAAGGTCATGATATGGTTGATTCTAAGTCCTTCTTCGCCCAGTCTTTTCATCTTGGTACCATCCCAATTATAATGTATATATAATATATAGAGCGATGCTAATCACAGTCGCCCCCGCGACTGTGGAATCTCAGTCGCTAGTTTAGGGATTGAGGCTGTATTTTTTTTTCCAATAATTAATTACTATTTTTCTCTAACTTCCTTTTGGATCTCTTATTATATATAATTATTATACTAGCCTCCTAACTGAGAGAAACTTCAAAAACCTCCACGGTTCCATCTCATTTTAAAATTTATTTTTTACAAAATTCCAAAAATTAATTACTATTTTTATGCTAACTTCCTTTTGGGTCTCTCATTATATATAATTACTATACTAGCCTCCTAACTGAGAAACCATATCTTAATGTTTATACAAAAGTCCATATCTTAATGTTTAAAGTTCAAATCTGAATTTTTTCAGATTCGTGTTCTTTGTATTCAAAGTATTGCTTAGATTTTTCGGATTAAAAAAATAAAAATAAAAATTATCATAAAATAAAAAGAAAAAAGTACTATAAATTTTTTTTCAGATTATACTTTTTTTTTCATCTGATTTTATTTTTTTTATTTGAAAAACAACCAAATACTTAGAAACAGAGAATAGGGATCTGAAAAAAACAGATCATTTTAGAGAGAGAACCAGATTATATTACTTTTTTCACTGGTTTCTCAGTTAGGAGGCTAGTATAGTAATTATATATAATGAGAGACCCAAAAGGAAGTTAGCATAAAAATAGTAATTAATTATTGGAATTTTGTAAAAAAATAAGATTTTAAAGTGAGATGGAACGTAGAGGTTTCCGAAGTTTTTAGTTAGGAAGCTAGTATAGTAATTATATATAATGAGAGACCCAAAAGGAAGTTAGCAGAAAGATAGTAATTAATTATTAAGAAAGAAAATATATGCGTCGACTCCTAAACTAGCGACTGAGATTTTACAATCGCGGGGGCGACTGTGATTAGTATCCCTTTTATATAAAAAAATAATAAATAGTTTGAAAGTCAACGACATTGTCATTCCCTATTTATGTAAAAATGGTCGAATTCATTCAACTTTTGAATGTTACATCACGACTTAAGTCATACAGAGTGAAAACGAAAGAGCGACAATATATAAGTCACATACAGTGAGAATAAGTGTGAGAACGCACTCAGGTGAGAGCGGTGCCCAACGAAAAGAATTGTGTGACTTAAATCATGATTATTAAATATTATATTGGGAAAGGAAAGAAAGAGATCATTTTTAATACTTACCTAATAAAAAAAATAAACAAATTGACTTAATATATATTTAAGCCATTGCTAAATACCATTGACCTAATTGTTGCTAATGCATGAGCACTAAAATTGAGAATCATTTAAAATATAATTAGCTTTTTTCTTGTGACCGAAGCCATTATATATATATATATATATATATATATATTAGCATAATGTCAAATACGGCAGCACAGTGCAACAAGTCATGCAGATTTAATTTTTTAATCGTTAATGAGTCCTCCATTGGCTTTCTCAATGCTTTGAGTGTGACCAAAATTCTTATTCATGCACGCATTTATTTGTCTATTAGCTTGAATCTTTTACATTTTAATTTTATAGTCAAAAAAATCACACGTTTAAATTTGTTTTTTTTCTTGGTCACGAAGACAAAATGGGGACCTACTCAAAGTGACAGGAAATAAATCCGAGAGGCTGCGCACCCAATTTCAAACTTAATTTTTTTCAAATTTGTCCTAGGTTAATTTGTCCTAGCTACCATTGATAGCGGAGTTCGGCTTATTAGTTCCTTAATTATAAGACACAATTTTTGACATCGGACATTATTGGTCACCTAATTGATAAAATGTTCAATTTTTTTAATTGGATGTATTTGTATTTAAATTTCTCTCCCCTTAATTTATCAAGATAAAAATAAATAAATAAAAAATTATCTGTGAAAAATGTTAGCCACAGTTACTTACTATACAGTCTGTACAAATGACTCTCAATTTAAAGAAGATATCGTGTATTCATTTAATAAATAAATAAAAAATACGTATTTTATCAAATTCTGAATTAATAAATTGAAAATAATAATACATAATCTCTCTATGTGCGACTTTATTAATATTTTAACTCTATTGTGAAAAATAAATAAATATTATTGAAAATCGTTTTAAATATGTTATAGTATATTACTTTCTTATTTTAATTGTCATGGGATTTTTTTACTCCTTTTTTAATATAATAAGTATATATTAATATAATTTTTTATTATTAAACATTTTTATTTACAAGATTTAACTATGTAATACAAAAAACATCTCTTTGTTGATAACACATTAGGTCATTAATGAGCATAAAATGATAATATTATTGTACTATTTTTATTTTATATTTATTAATTTTTTTTTTGAATTATTATAATATTTAAAAATATGGATTTTATGGTCATATGTACAATCAACTTTTAATTATACAAACATTTCCTACTATCAATTTTAAAGCATTATTTCTCGATACATGTCTTCTAAATTGATGGTGCTATTAGTAATTCTATGAAAGAAGGACACTTTTTTTTATGGAGATTGATGAACATTTAACTACTTGATGATGCTATTAGTAATTTTATTGAAGTAGAATGACACTTATTTTATGAAGATTGATTAACGTTTAGGCTTCATTTGTTTAGATGTAAAATATTTTTCAAAAAATATATATATATTTTTTCTGGTATTTAGTTGTTGTAAAATATTTGAAGAAAAAACTATTAAAATTTAACAAAAATAATTTACTCGTCAATTTTTGACAAATTATTTTACACGCCATGTTCTATGGACTCACTCTCAACCTAAACTTTCGCCAAATACTGTACGATTTAAAAGGAAAAAACCCGTAATTGTCATGGTTGATGGATTTACGAAATCTTCCTTCTTGTATACATTGCAAATCTAAATAGAATTTCATAAGTTACTCAAAACAATCAACTTAATAAAAAAAAAAAATTAGAACTTTCTTTACAATCTCCCTCTCTAGTTTGTTGATTTATTTTGTGGTTACTCCTCCCCTCTCTTTGCTATTTTTAGGAGTGTGTGTGTGTGTGTGTGTGTATATATATATATATAAGCATGTTCCAATAATCCAAAGCTGTTTACTTCAATTGATGCTAACACTATTTCTCTGACAAAATACCAAGAGTGATTGAATTAAGCATGTTCCAATAATCCAAACCTGTTTACTTCAATTGATGCTAACAGTATGATTCCGAGTGAACAACCATAATAGTATATGTCACTTCGGTGAGAATGCATATATATATATCACTCTTGGTATTTTGTCAAATCAATGATTCCGAGTGAACAACCATAATAGTATATGTCACTTCGGTGAGAATGCATATATATATATCACTCTTGGTATTTTGTCAGGGAAATACTGTTAGCATCAATTGAAGTAAACAGTTTTGGATTATTGGAACATGCTTAATTCAATCACTCTTGGTATTTTGTCGGAGAATCTTCATGGAGCACTAATATCAACTCTCTTCTCGAAAATCAGATTAATTGAGGCCATTCATTTTGCACCAACACCGTGAGTTGTATATTAAACGTGAAATACACGTTTGCATAAATGAATCAGGGTGCAAAAATGAAGCATAGCATATGCTCCTATAATATTTACCTGCTATCAAAAATCGATATATATATATATATATAAAATAGTGTTTTGACATACCAAAAACTCGTGCTTCATGATCTTATCACGTGAACTTCCCATCTGTACCAAATTGCCAATAACACAAATATGGTGGTTTTCGTAAGTTCACATAAGACTAATAATTTTCAAGAGACCAGTTTAATTCATAGCCACACTACACTAAATAAAAGTCAATCACTTGAAGTGAACATAACCATATCCTTGATTATGTAACATATTATTTACACAATTTTGTTTCAAAACTGTTAGCTGTGCAATTTATTCATTAAATATTTTAATTAGGAACACAATGGAAGCAACAAGATGACTTTTGAATTGGTCCCAAACAAAAATTATGCTACTTAAATGGACCAAAGAAAGAGCTGAAGATTGTGAATCAATTACCAGAACTTGTACTTTCACACAACGTTCCACTCAAATATCACACAGATGAAAGAATTTCTACAATGGATCCTCATGGCACCCTTAGCCGCTTTCTCCCCCTGTGAGTGGCGCCACTGTGATTAGCACTTTTGTGCGCGAATTTGGATGTCTTAGTCACTCTAATGTCATGAACTGTGCTGCCGTGATGGCCATGCCTAATGGGATTTCTCTTGTTCACATAAACTGAGTCCCCACTGATCCCTACCCGAATCCGGTGACTCCTAGGCCTCAAAGACCTCCTCAAATGGTCTCCTCTGTAGTCCCTTAGTGATCTTCTTCTGTCCTTCACGTGTCTAGATAAACGGTGATGTGAAGAAAAGCTTCCTTGTTCACTAGTGCCTGTGTCAAACTCTCTGGCACGCCTTCTGTGTTTCCGGTGTATTTGCTTAAGCATTCGAAGCTTGTAACAAAGGAAAGTGCAGCAGTAGTCACACACGGAGAAGTAGATAGCGAAAAATGCCCATGTTGATTTGCAGAGTGTCCGGCCAACGCATTGGCAAATGCCCAATTTGTATAAAAGATAGAAGAATAAGAGAACTGCACAATGTCAAAGCAAGCAAGTCCTAAATCAGTAGATAGAGCATGCCGAGAATGGTACTGACTATTTTGCTCTTAATGCACTAAAAGAAAGGATTGTTGGGTCGAGTTCGGATTCTCAACCATCGAGCATTGGTGCTGCAGTGTTTTTTAATGCACTTAAATCCATTTTCAACACATTTATTCCTAAATGAGTTAAGCATACAGGGAATGGTACAGACTATTTTGCTCACAATTCTATGAAAGAAAGGATTATCAAGTCGAGTTCAGATCCTCTACTATTAAGCATTGGGGCTGCAACGTTTTTCAATGCACTTAAATCTATTTTTAACACATTTATTTTACATTTGAATTGTTGAAATTATGTTAAAATAGTGTTGAAAATGGATTTAAGTATGTTGAAACACGCTACAGCAGGGAGTCTGGATCCTCTGCTGTAGCGTTTTTCAACATAGTTAAATCCATTTTCAACACAGTTTCAACGGTTCAAATGTAAAATAAATGTGTTGAAAATGGATATAATTGCTATTCCAATTCAAGCATACCATTACTAACAACTTTTACTTGTAAAGCACTTTTCATTATGATTTTTTGTCCTTCATGTAGAGCATTGGTGCTGCAGCGTTTTTCAACGTACTTAAATCTGTTTTCAACACATTTATTTTACATTTGAACTGTTGAAACTGTGTTGAAAAACGCTACAACAGAGGATCGAGACTCTATCGAGTCTTATTCCAATTCAAACATACCATTACTAATAACTTCTACTTGTAAAGCATTTTTCATTATGTATAAATTTGATGCCAAAGTCTGATGGTGTTAGTGAAATCAAAATCACAATTCTTGACTCTTTCTATGGAAAATATAGGTTATGAATTTATGATTTAGTAGTAATGAATATTTTGTGGAGAGAACAGAATACGGTCCTAATAAATCCATGTTATGTTGGGAGTAAAATTAGGGCTTTTGGAGTAGGAAAGTGAACCACTACAAAAGTGCAACCTGTGAAATAAAAATGGAACTCACCAAAGTAGAATAGAGCTGATACCGCGGCCAACTTGAGCAGATTGGCAATGCAGAAATTGTCGATATAGCATATGAAATCCCATGTCGATCCACATACTGAACTGAACAACCATGTAAATCGAAAAGGTTTCAGAACACACAGTGTGAATGTTTGTATGTGTGTGTATACACAGATTTCACACACTGAATGCAATGGTTATAAAAAACCAAGGACTAAATTTCAATAAAATGCCCTCAAGATTACAATGTTAGGAATGGTCATCCCATACACCCTGAAATTGGGGCACATATTCATATCAAAGTTGTGCTTGATTAAACCACATTAAGTTGTACAAATTTCACAAGAACAAAACCATGAACTAAATTTATATAAAATGAACTCAGTATTCACACATATTTGGGTGAAACCCTATGATAATGATCGAAAAATTACGCTTACCTGCAAGACTTTCCAGCAAGAAAATCGAGTGGAGAACCAAATAAGTTCCCAATGACATGAGCAAGTCCCGAAAAGAATGAGGCGATTATGTTTCCCATCAAGTCAAATTGGGTGACTGATTTAAGCAGTGCCAAACAACTGCTTGAAGATTTCCCAAAGAGGGTGATTTTTGTTCTCTTTAATTCTCACACCTACAATGAAAATAAAAATAAACTATCATCCTCTGCCCATGTGCATGCTATATAATTGGAAAATAACATAGCACTGAACTAGTATTCCAATAACTTATTTTTCTATGAAAATAAATAAATGTTTACATACACACATACAACAATGAAATCTGAAACTAATAAACTTTGTATAAATTGAAAATTAGTAGTTTTCTTCCGCATTGCAATTTGCTTCTTAAACTCAAAACCAATGTGGCAATCAACAAAGGGTTTCTTGTGATATATATATATATATATATATATATTTACATGTTATTTTACATTTGCAATGTATGAAATATTTTCCAACACATTTGGCTTTTTTTCATCAGGGTACATGTGAATCGACCATAATTTGACCACCAATCACAAGTATATCTTAAATTCAATGCATATTCTAGTTCAATGGGTAAAAAAATCAGCATAAGTTTTAAGATAAAAACTCATATACAATATGTGTATATATATCAATAAAAAGCAAGCACACAAAAAATGCACCGGCACACAGTCACACACACACACACACACAGAAGGAGAGATGTACTCGTTTGAAGGAATGGGATGAAAGGCCAGAACTATTTCACTGCGGATTACAGAGAGAAGGGCGTCTCATTCCAGCGTTTGAAAATTAACCGACACTCACACCCATATACATACACACAGTGAATATACACATACATATACTACCTATTGTGTGTGTATAACATTTGTGTGATTGTCCGCTTCAAAAAGGTCCAGAATGTAAAACATTGGGTCAAAGAGTGAAGTCGAAAATATGGGCTCGTTTCCAAGCCCACGTTGGACCTTTGTCACTTGCAGGCCCAAGCCACTCGTACCAGGAGAAACCTGTGATGACATTCATTAGGGGTGTTAAAAAAATCCGATAAATCGAAAAATCAGACCAGACCGGACTAAACTAGGCAGTTTGGGCTAGTTGTATAGTGGTTTGGTCCGGTCTTGAATTCAAAATTATAAAATCGTAATTTTTCTGCTCGGTCCCGGTTTTGGGTCCTGTTATGATAGCTAAGAACTTCAAACATTAGTTATTCCGTACTTGATTCCTCTTGTTCTTTGAAATTTTGAGTTTATTTTTTTTTCTTTTCCCAGTACCACGTAAATGGTAAACAGGGAATGCTGTATTATTTTTCTTGTGGTCATCTAGTCACTGTCTGTTTGTTTCTTCCACCGTGGCCTAATATTATTGATAATGCATATGTGATTGTCATCTCGTCACTATCGGTTCCCTAATGTATTATTGATAATGCATATGTGATTGTCATCTAGTCACTATCAGTTCCCTAAAGATTTTGTTTTTAAAAAATAAAATAAAAATGAAATCAACTTAAACCAACAAACCAAATCGGTCGCAGTCTGGTTTGGTTTGATTCCATCGGCATTATGGTTCGGTCTATTTTCAAAAATAGTGGAATCGTTATAAATGGTTTGGTCCAAAAAAACTCCTAATCTAATCCAAACCGGACCGTGTGCATCCGTAATCCACAATCCATTATAAAAATCTCCAATTCTTTTGTCTTTTTTTTTAATTATTATTTAAATTTTCAGAATATATAATCGAAAGAATTCATTCTGAGCTTCTTATTGTTTAAATAAATCATATATATATCACCCTTTTCATACCAAATTTGGATTTCTGAACTCTTAGAAATAAATCCCTAATGTAGCCCTTATTTACTAGAACTTCTTATTGTTTAAATAAATCATATATATATCACCCTTTTTGGATTTAGTATGACCAACCAATGAAAATCCACGTCGTTAGCTTCCCAACCCACAATCATAGACTTGTTTGTTTCAGTATAAAGCCAATAATTTCAGGTTATGAGAGAATAGTGATAATTCAAAAATTAGGAAAACTATAATGTGAAAACTGTAATTTATTCTCAGAGTTATTGAAAACTGTTCTCAAGAAATTGAAGCAAACAAACCCTTTATCCAGATCAATTCAAGCCAACTTAATGCTCTTTTGTGTTTTAGGGAGGGATAGGCCAATGCGTTAAGCGAGCAACTGCAAAATAACAAACCACACACAGTAGTCGAATCCAATCACACACAGTTTGCTTTGTTGAGGCTTGAGAAACATCAAGATGAGTCTGCAAATGCATTAATTTAACATCGGATCCAAATTTCCACAAATTCAACTTAATGACCATGAAATAAAACTACATAAACCCGTTCTTAAATATTCATTGCATTACATCAATGTAAAGGACCAGAAATACGGGCCCTTGTCACCCGTTCAACGCTAACAAGTCCCGCCTTCACCCGCTGTCTACGAGAAAGAGAGGAAATATCCAAAATGGGAATATAAAACGATGGGCTTCCAGCTCTTCTAGAAAGTGGTTAGTCCATTCTTCCCTTCAATATCCTCTCTGTTACTTCGGTTGGTGTACTGCAATTCAAGCAAAGAAACAGACTTACACATTGGCACATTGTCAATGGCATACGAAAAACATGGATACCAAACCCCATGAACGCTTCTATAAATGTTTGACCAAACATGAGATTCAAAAGTTGTCATCAACGTAAACAATTGTAGAGTTTGAACTCAACAACAAAATGGAGAAAAAGAAAATGACAGACCAAGAAGAAGAAATGGGTGGCAGGTGGTTAAGAAGAAAAATGTAGCTGATTTCCTTGGGAAATTTGCTGGCTGTTCGTGCAGCATTCATCTCTTGCTAATTAGATTTTTCCTCTGTTTTTTTACATCTTCCCATCAACCAACATAAGCATAACACAACATCTCCAGAGACTAATAAAAAAATCAAAAAGACCAAAGAGAGCTATTCTCTTACGCTCTTGCACTTGCATTCTTCTATTAGTTACACAGTTAATAAAGAAAAATAATGTATCCAGAAACTAAATTATTCTATGTGAAGAAAAGAGTACCAAAGAAGAGGTTGTGAATTCAAGTCTCACAAGATAGATTATCATATTTATTTACCCCAAATAAAAATAATAATAAAAAATAAAGAAAGAAAGAAAGGAGTACTAAAAGGCTTACACAACGTAGACATGTCCTCCCCAACCACTCAAACAGTCACGATCTACTGATGATAACAGGGCTTGAGATATGGTCTCAAACAATTCTTCAGGTTCCTGTTCATAGTTAAGACAACAGAATTATAGTAGAGCAACGAACAGCACAAAGATTTCAAATAAATCAAGTATAGAAAGTGGAACAATATATTAGGTAACAAAAAAAATTTAAACTCTTAGCTTTTAGGCGTTTAAAAAAATAAAAATAAAAATAAATAAAAAACCCTAGAATAACTTAATTCTCGAAATAGAAAAAACCATAACAGAACATGCAACCTGGCGTGTAAATTACTAACATACCCCTATACTACAATCTAATAATGCAACTGTTTGGGACTTGCTTTCCTCATCTTGTTACTTGTGCACCAAGATGGAATAAAAGCTTCCATGATGATAAAAGCTTAAAGTCCCAAAAAGTGGGAAATGACTTCAATGCCTACGAATCATCCAAGATTTTAGATTGTGCATCTTATTGTCCTTCAATTTACCTCCCCTTTTATTATATCATGTATTAAAAGATGCAACTTGACTACTTATTTGTATAACTTATATAATGAGAAAAGGAATGACCGACATTTACAAGGCAATGAATGATAAGCTGTCAAAAAACCACATGCCCAATAAAGAAAACATGGCTGAGATAAAGATGGAGAAATAGACATGTCATGGAACATGACAGGATAAAATTGCAATATATGTGTTCATGAAATTTAGAATAGCATTAACCAAGGAAAAATTGACACAGACCACCAGTGGAAAAAATACTTTCTAATGGGGATAGCTGAGAAAAGGAAATTGAGATGTCTGGTCACTATAAAGAAAGGATAAAATTAGTCAATACGTGCTCTTGAAAAGTTATAGATGGAACCAAGGTTTATGAGAATAGTGGCCTTCCACAATATTTAATCCTTAAATGTATCTGCATGTCTTTAGGAGCTATTAATACAAGTTCATATTGGCCCCTTATGCTTCTTATAAGTTTTGGATTTTACTATCTTTTCCATATTCAGTTTTGCAGCAACAGTCTATCTAAACCGTCATACATCAACAGATCCTCAAGTATCTGAGCAAATTTTTTCACAAACTTTAATCTGAAAATAATTCAAGAAGGAATATCATGACAAACCATGTCCGGCTTGAACATTGCCTCACATGCACCATAAAGAGACTCTGACGCAGTGCCAGCAACAACAAAATCTTTAGCAAGCTCTCTGCATTTAGAAAGATGAAAGAAGTAATAAATAAGTTAAATAACAATAATAAGTACTGCAATAAATTTGCTGTTTTATCAGCCAATACTACAAAATAAAATTGATGAAGACTCCAGATTGCACATTGATCCTAAGCAAGGCTCCAGATTGCTTAACATGAGATCAAACCTTGAAAATGAGTGTGCTTGAACATGTGAAGAGATAATGTCAAAAGACAATTTCTGATTTCAGGAAGAGCAAGAAGACACGTAATATAAGAATTCACCAATAAATATATATATATGTGTGTGTGTGTGTGTGTGTGTGTGTTATAACTGCTGTTGAAGATGTTTCAGACCACATGAACTTTTTTGGACATGCCATAGAGAGAGGAGAGATTGAAATTGGTTGTTGAGTCTTTTCCTCCTCCTTTTTTTAGGTAGAGGCATTAACATGTATTTCCCTCTATTCATTTATAACAAGCCATAGAATCACAATATCTAGAAAGCATGGAAAGGGAAAAGAATTCGTGTCCGACACGGACACGCCATGGATATGTGTCCAACACGCGTGTCCCGTTCTTGGGTATTTTTTTTTTTTTAAAGTAAGGCACTTGGGGATTTTAAGAAAGTTTTAGAAAGAAAGCTAGGTTAAAGTGTAAATATGAGGAGTTGTTTAATAGCTTTCAGTAATATGATCGTCGTTACATAATTACTTAAAAGTTGGTGTTTCATAAAACAACTTTATATTAAACAATCAGATATTATGTTTAAATTTTAGTCCAAAGGTTTAAACTCTTACACGATCATTTTTTACTCTCTTGTTCTCCCACCAACCAAGCTTTGCTACTGGTGGATGGTCTCTCTCCCTCCTCTTTCTCCTCTTTTCTCCCTTCTTTGTCCTCCTCTTTTCTTTCTTCTCTTCTTATTCTTCTTATTCACAAGCCCTAGATACTTTTTATTTTTATTTTTTCACAACAAAATTATTTTTGTCTCTCTTTTTCCTTTTTCCCCGTCTCCATGAATTTTTTCTCTTCTATGGACTCTTACTAAGCCCTAATTCTTTTTCTGAAAAAACCCTAATCCTCTTTGTTTCTTTGTTTTCTTCTCTTTCTATCATTTCTCTTTTTCCCGGCAAAGCACAAATTTTTTTTCATTATTAGGTTGATAAAATATTATATTACTCTTAATTTCTTAAAGTACAATATCATATATATATATATATATATATATATATATATATATATACATACACACTTGTATATTTATTATTCGTCATGTCGCCGCCGTGTCCGTGTCCTAATTTTTTACGATTTTCTGTGTTGCCATGTCCGTGTCTGTGTCGTATCCATGTGTCGTGTCGTATCGATGTCCCGTATCCATTTACGTGCTTCTTAGCACAATATTTTATCAGAAGCATGATATTGTATTCAATTAGGGAATAAAGCTATTCATCTAAAAGAAAGGACAAGTTAATTACTACCAAGGGTTGTAGTCTAGTGGTACTTCCTCACCTTCAAAGTAGAAGGTTGAAGGTTCAAATCCTCATGGGGATAAAATGGGTGTGTAAGATTCAGCTAGGAAAAAAAAAACAAGTTATTTCAAATGGACAGATCGCAAAGGGTTTAAGTGTGTCAAGCATCAGAAAAACCATTATCGAGTCTGTCGAAATAGTATTGTATCATAAAAGACAGGAACAACAATTCTCTTTCATGCCATTACTTAGTTCATCAATTCATAATATTGAAGAAGTTAAGAAAGAAGATAAAAAAAAATAAATTTTTTAAACTTTCATGACATCAATATAAGAAGTAATTGATGTGATATGCATTTGATATTCAAATCTGGTATAATAGCAATGTTTTGTTTCATAACTTCTTTAGACTACAATAAATCTCAATGAATTAAGTTCTACGAAAAAATTATTCATAATTTCAGACCTTGATACATATTTCCAAGTGATGTATATTTGAATTTTACTGGAAGTTGAAAGAGTCAAATGAGCACAATCACTAGAGAGCAACCTTATTCCACACACATTCAAGAAGTATGGCGGTTGACATAGACAGGTAACTGTCAGAACATGATTAGACTATTTAATGGCCATTAGTACCACGAAGATGATCCGATGATATTACGCGAGGCAATTAGCAAATTATTTTAAAAGGAAAGTGACCACACACAGATACAGAAAGAAAAGAAATAAAAAATAATTAAATACCAAAAGAATAAGAGTTCAGTGGAGGGCTGTAGCATTAAATACTACTGTAGGAACTAAGAAGCAAGGACATGATACGCCACAAATACACCAACACGTCAAATTCTAAAAAAGTAGGACACGGATAAGGCGTGGAACGACAAATAAAAATATAAGTTTTCATTTATATATCTATTGAATAAGGCAATTATAGAACTTTAATTAATTTATAATTTCTATACTTAAGTTACATAAGTTAGAATATTAAGATATTCAAATATAAAAATATATTATATATAATATTACTCTCCTTTCTTGTCATTATAGTTATGTTTTTGTTCATTACATATTATGACATGTGTTTACTGTCAAATAGCAGAGAAGACCGCCACAACAACTAGCACAACGTATAGAAAGGGGGACAAGCCACTAGAATCTAGCCAGTATCTAGGCATGAGTGGAACACCGTCCAAAAAATTAGCAAAAATATGAGGGTTATCCCTTATAAAAAATATATATATATTTGTTTTCACAACCGTCACGTGTTTGTTTTATATAAGATGAAATTGTTCGAATGTCCGGAAGGTGTTGACCATGTGTCAGAGAGGTGTCGGCCAAGTGTCCAAAATAATTAAAATTATTTTAAAATTATAGACACGGCCATTTAGTGTCGTTCACGTCTCCAATAGTGTCCATGAAGTGTAGGTGTCCAACACTGTGTCGGACACGGCACCTTCGAAGAAGTGTCCGTGCTTCTTATACTAGAATAACTTTATGCGACTGAAGTGATAGGGACAAATATAAGAAGTTGCTTAAAATATAATCAAACACCAATATAGACAACTTATAGCCCATGAGCACACGTAAGACATTCATAGCTTGAAAGTTCTAATTTTTCAATCTGGGAAAAAAGTTCTCAATGTAGAATATCTAACCAGAGTTTTATATAACCTCCTTCAATAGAAAATCTTCATAGTGAAATAACCCTTTCTATATCCAGCAAAGATCATCAAATTCAGTACTATATCTACTTAAAGTCCACAAACAATTCTAGAAATCAATTCCTAGAAAACAGAACTGACAAAACAACTAAGAGATGCTCAACAATACACAAGTACAAAATCAAAGATCCAGAGGAATTATGTTACAACAGTAATACAAAAGAAACTTATAAACAAGAAATAAAAGGTAGAAAACTGGAAATTTTATATGTCAACTGGTAAGTTCATGCCTCATGCCATTGTATTGTGTTCAGAATCAAGAATTATTGATTTGACGCATGCATTATGCATTCTCCGCTTACATATCAAAACAACGAAGCTCAATTAGACGTACAATGCGTAATTGCAACCAAATTACTTTCCATTTCAGGTAATTGTCACACCAAAAATAAAACTTGACGCTGCCAGGAATCCTAGGTGTCTTGATAATTCTAAAATAAAGGGAAAAAGAAGGCAGAATAAAATAAACTTACTTGGCTCCGATTGAGTCCATTGTGCAAATGAAGGGCTTGTCTTCATCTCCCAATCCAGCAATCACAGGCTGGACAAAATACGGACCAAACCTACACATAAAAAAAGATTTATACGTTGATATATACGCACTCGGTCTAATATAATGTAATTTTATTGAACCAAAAGTTTTTTAAACAAGTCAAACGAAGCAGGGTGATGATGAAAAAAGATTATTTTCTCCCTAGTTAAAGATCATTAAGAAAAACAGAAAAGTAAAAATAACACAAAAGAAGCACCTTAATGTTACACAATAATAGAACTTGTCGGTTTTGAAATTACAATCTCGAAATAGAAAGCAAGTCAAGAAATAAAAAAACAAATATTGAATGAAAATGAAATCAACAAAACTTTATGAGTTGCCTGATACAATGGGGTTGCATGAACTTTATGCTCACCTCAGTAAATGCTAACAATAGTATTGACCATATGACAAAGGTAAGCTTATTTTCTAGATAATTCCCTTTTTGACACAAAATATTTTCAAAATTGTTTCTTTAGTAGTGATGTTCAACGAATGGGAATTTTGTTGCTGCCGGATCTAGATTGAAGGATTGCAATCCAATACCATGGGAAACAAAAGCAGCATAGAATATATGAGACTCACAAGTCCTCTACACTACATCAGCCATGTATTGTGACATGCTCCTCCAAGTCATCTCACGATATTCATGCAGTCATGAGTTTACAGTAAAGCAAATAACTGCTTTGGCCTCAAAATGCACCAAGGACCATAATTAACAACTCGCTAACGTGTCAAGTCCTGGATCTTGATGTCAACTGTTGAAATTAAACATTTTATATTCCCTCAATTCACATTATTCTTGAACTTCTCAGACGTACAAAAATAATAATAATATTAATACAATTTTTGCCCTCTAGAACATGGGTTTATAAAGTTGGGCAAAAACGTGCTAAAAAAATTTAATGATATTGCTGAGGAAAACAAGGATGGTAAACACAACGACCGTGCACTAAAGAATGGAATGACTGAGAACAAAAATGATGACGCAAAGAGTGGACTTAACTCTAATTGCCTACAACAATGCTAAAGGTCAAAATGATGTTAACAGTGAAAATACTAATGATGGAGTTCATTTTCATATTAGTTCTTAAAACTTGAGTTTTATGTAATGAGTTAGTTGTCATGATAACACACGTCAGATACAATGTTACAATCAGTAATCCATTATATCTAATGAAATATGTGTTACTTGTATCCAATTTTCCTATTAGGTGTTTGATGTTGCTCGGTAATCTCTTTATTTGAAATTTTAGTGCTTCTTATTGTTGTGTTTTAAGGCCCTCGGCCCATACAGAATGTTGATGCTAATTGATACCAAGATTGTGTTGACATAACCATGCCCAGATATCCATATCTAGCTCTTTTCTGGACATGCTTGGATCCTCATGTTCAAACAAAATCATTTTATGAGGCATCTTAAATTAGCTTATGTGCTATGTTACATATTGTATACTCGTGTGAGTGTAAATCTTGAATATCCAATAATACACACACACACTGAGAGAGAGAATGAGAGGCTATCAGGGCAATTTCGTTTTAAACCAAACTGAGATTCATTAACGCAAATCAAATATGGCACCTATATGTGTTTAATAAATTTGTGTATATGGACTAACTGAAGAAAGGTACTTGCCCGAGCTACTAGAGAATTGTAGTCCACAATCTTCATTTGAATAAAGTATAAATTAGTGCGCAATCATAGAAACGGGTTTTAGCAAAAGTAAAATTTCCCAAGTTTGTTTCATGAGCACTAATATGACCTAACATGGTATTACCCAAGCACAAAATATCTCAAAAATCATGACTTTGTCAACCGAACCCATCTTCCAAAACCAAAAAACAAATGAGTTAGAACTTAGCAACCCATGACAAACAAGTTCCTACCACTATGTTTGGTAGCATGGAGTTAGTTCCTTGGAATTGAAATTGGAGAAAAAATAGTTCAAACTCACAAGCTAGGTTTCACAGACTGAGCCATACAGATTTACAATAACAATAAAACCGTTTAATTTAAGGCAAACATGAAGAAGTTAGTAACTCAAACACACACAACAACTGTATCTACAAACCTCTTTTCATAAAGAATAGCAGAAACAAGGCTGGCAAAAGTTTCAGGCTTCATATCCCTCTCTTCTCGAAGTTCATACAGCTTATGCCTAAACACGAGCCGTTGATACCTTCATAAAAATTAAACAACACCAAATTGAGAGACAAACATGAAAATTAAATATACCTATATATATCTATATATCGTTTTTATGAATACAAAAATCAAACAATTAGTTACAGGGTTTGAGCGTCGGTGGCGAGTCCAGCGAGACCGATGAACAGCTTGTCATGAAGCTTGTAAATTTTCTGAAAATCAGTGGCGATCGTCTGAAGCTGAACGCCGAAACGGCGATCGCTGGCGATGGCGAAGCAGTTCTTCCCAACCATCGCCACCAGGGCACTTCCATTGTATTCGAAGATCTGCAAATCAAACAAATATATATATAAGCATGTGTAGTTTGATCCAAACAAACCAAATTAGGGTTTTGAACAATCGATACAGACAGATATATATCTATATATATTTAGAGAGAGGGTAGAAGAACGTACCGACATTGTAGAGCGAGATTAATGGATATTTAGAGTGAGATTTGGGGAAAGGAAGTGATTCAGAGACAACAACAAAAGAAGAATAGAGTTTCTTTTTGCTGTGTGATTGCTTTTGGAGCGAGTGTTGGCTTGGGCGAGAAGAAGCGTTTGGTTAACCGGTCCGGTTTATTTTTAAACCCCTTAAGACCGGTTTAGTCTAGTCTTTTCCAAACCGGTTGGTCTTTCTGCCTTTTTTTTGTTTTTTGTTTTTTTTCTTTTTTCTTTTCTTTTCTTTCTTAGTTCAGTACGGAGTAGTTTATAGTACTGTAGTTTCTAATAATGTGGCTTACTTTGAGTAATTTCAATCCTAAACAGGACAAATCTTTTTATTAGTATAATTAAAATTTGGATTAAAACTTCTAATATTATCTTACTTAAAATTTTATTTGGTCTATGTATCGAACCTTGGTGTTGTTATTATTATTTTTTAAGACTAAGTCCATTAAATCCTCACTACTTTAATTTTTTTATCATACACCCTCAACCTACTTTAAAAAAATCCCACCACTATAAAATTTGATTACATTGTCCAATACTATTAATTATTGAATGCCGTTAAAGAAGCGTGTGATGCTCACTTGTGCCATCAAAACCTATTTAATGACTAAAGTACCCCTGATACAACTTGTGGCAAGCATTTGTTGTTAGGTAATTTTTTATATTCCACAATTACACCTAACCATGTTAAAAAAGCATCTGTGAGCCTCTTCCATATTTTACGTTTCTCAGTTCATGGGTGAAAGGTTTTGAGCTTTGAAGCACGGACACTCCTTACAAGAATTTTGTATCAGTGTCAGACACTTTTCAGACATCGACACCTATGTTCAAGACTTAGACACGTATTCGAAACTTCTGTAAAGTGTCCAAATATTATTTTTTATTGAACACACGTGTCCGAGGCTCGGACACACGGTCCGACACTTCTGTGAGACAAAATTTATTTTCTCTCACTCCTCTCTCGGTCTCTCCTCTTCTTCAATTATCTCTCTTCATGAACAAGATATATATATATATAAGTTATATGAACAAAATTTTGTGAAAGACTGAAAGTTATTCATATACATATTTCGTTCATTATAGCTATGTCTCTTCTGCACATCTTCGTTTGGAATTTGGATCAACTTTATTTTTCATTTATTTTCTATTTTGTCTTGTCTATATTTTTCTTATAACAGAGATGAAATTATTGAAATTGATTCTGTTCTTTGTTATTATTTTATTTATCTGTACAAGATTTTAGTAATTATATTTTGAATATATATATATATATATATATATATAATTTTATAGGCGTATCCCTGCCGTGTCCGTGTCCTATTTTCTTGAAATTTGCCGTGTCGTGTCATACCCGTATCCGTGTCCGTGTCGTACCCGTATCCGTGTCCGTACTTCATAGGTTTTGAGGATACTAACAAAGTCATACCTTTCGAGATGCTGTCTAACAAAGTTGAAGGCAAGCACTTCGAATAAACCACTCCTTAAGATTTTTCATTGACCCACGAATGAAACACGCAGTGTTTTAATGAAAAACACAAAGAAATTGAATAAGGAAAAGCATACAATCTCACACATATGCACCCTCAAAACCTAGTCCCTTTCCATCCCTCTTATCACTAGTGTTTGTGAGCCACTCCTTCATATTCTTTTTTTTTTTCCTAGTTAATAATCACACACACTTATCTTTTCTAAGATTTGAACCATAATCTCCCTTTGGGAAGTAAGAGGCTGATACCACTAGGCCACTAACATGTTGGTCACTCCTTCAGATTCTTCATTATGTATAATATACACACACGCACACACAAAGAAAAGGGCGAAGGTGAATAAAACGACTGCGTTTAGTGCCAACATATTTGCACATCAAAACACGGTCGTTTTGTGTCTGATTACTTAAATGTCACCAAGGTTATTTCTATAATTTGCAAAATGTCGATTTTTTCTTTTTTTAAACAAATTGGTATATTAGAAGGTTAATTTCATAATTTAACCACAACTTAATTGTTCAGTAAGAGAATTGGGGCAATGTGATCAAATTTTATAGTGTTGGAAGTTTTCTAAAATAGATTGGGAGTATAAGATCAAAAAATGAAAGTAGCGAGAGTTTTGTGAAATCAACCCTATTATAATTACAAACTATTTATACATTTATAATTAGACCACATTAGCGGTCATTGGGGATCACCTACTCACCGGTAGGCAAGTCTTGTCCTTGGTAAAATATCAACCCATTCAGATTCAAGTTTAGGGAAAAAAATAAATTCTGACAACCAATCAACCGATTTCAAACCTGGCATTATAGGGTGGGGCACTGAAAGGTCTGACCTTTTACTACTCGGACAATACAGCCACACTTAAAATTCCTCCATAATTCACTACCTTATCAACACATGAATTCTCATTTTTTCTTTTTCTTTTTCTTTAAATACAAGCTGGTTTTCACCCAAAAAAAAAATTTTCTTTTTAAAATTTGATGGACTTTGCATTTTTCAGAACTTGAACCCAATTTGAGAAAATCCAAATATTATTTTCGATCTTTCAGTTTTCAAGTATAAGAACTAGTAGTATTTGAAAAGAAATTTAGAATCAGACCTGATAATTCCATGTTATTAAAGATGTGTTTGCAAGTTCAGATAAAAATGTTATTTATGTAGGATGGGATATATGACAGGATGGAATGGGAAATATAATGGAGGAGGATAAGAGATAATCCCAATCTTGTGTTTGGAAATTGGAACAGCCCTGAACATGCCACACTATCCCAAATTCCCAATACTGCATTTGGACAAGCACACACTAAGAGGCCACAACATGATTATATATATTTTGACGAAAATACCCATCTTGGACAATTAAATTCGAAAAGCATCCTTCATTTTTTTCCAAAAAAAAAAACCCTTAGGTTATTGAACTAAATTTCCTCCCATTCCAATTTCAAGCCATTCATTCATTCGGCGCTCCCAAACATACCTCTGGCACATTTTGTCAAATAACACCCTTTCATTAGACTTACCAAAAGTAACAAAAATGGAAGCTAAATATTGAATAAAAGGACTAATCATATTTGCTACATGAGCATGAATATAGATATAACACGAAAATAGGCGTTCAACTAGCAAGACAGGTCAATAAGATGACAGAAGATATCGCTAATAGGATTAACAGTTTACAAAGTGAGAAGATGCAGTTTTGGATATTTAAAAAACAAGAAAAGAAAAAAAGTGCTTCGTCGAGTGTATTAAATTAAAAGAATTACAGAGTTCAGAATGCATATCTATCTCTGCATATGACACAGTTTGACCATATTCAAGGTCTAATTTGCACAAATTTAGCTCGTAGTTATATCACATTTTAATTAGCTCAATACAGAAAATCTGCTGCGAAAGGAGGATGAGATTGAAGTAAAATATGCTCACGAAATGCCACCTGCTTCCGTGTTGCATCCACTTTAATCTGCAATTGAACAGAAAAAACATGGTTATTGCTCCTTTACCTTCAGGAAGAAGTGTATAACAGTGGATCTAACAAATTTTGTAGGAAACAAGTTTTCACTTGTCAAGAAAGCAATTAACATTTTATAAAATCTAAAATTTCGATATATATCCTATTTTCTCTTCATGCACTTGAAGCAACCACAGTGAACATATTGTTATGGTTAAATATTAAACAGAGCTAGATGTTTTTAACTCTACATGATAAACTGGCTATACATGATTGGACCATGATGGTTTCGGGCCTTAAATCCGTCTTCCAACTAGAAGAATTCGAAGCCACGCCACCCTGACAAACGTGGGTCCAACTGAAAACCAAACTAGAGTGGAACAATCCTATGCTCCTTCCTTGCTTTCACCCTCCTTCAGATGGAACAATCCTATTTCGGGCCTTTTCATTCATTGTGTTAGAAACTTTTAAATAGGTATATTCAACATAACATTATGAAAATTTGATGTTTTAAATATACTCAAAAGCAAAGGCAATTAAAGACGAGGGGGATTTTCAAAAAAGCCAAAAAAATTGAGCAGAGATGAATAGAATTGATAAAGCAACAGAGAGAAGAAAAAAAAAGTAGTTTGGCAAATTACCTCCAACCAGTATCGCAAATTCCACCAAGAAAGAATCATTTTTCCATACTCCTTTCCTGCAAGGCATTATAACTTCTACAAGCCTCTTCCTCTCTAATCTCCTTCTGTAGATCATGGCCTTCGGCAAGAGCGTGGTATACACAATAATTAGAATTAATGAATGAAAACAAATAATAATTAAGCATCCAAATTCCAATTACAAGGTCTTACTCTTTTTTGGCTATGCTTCAGCTACTACTGTTTTGGCATCTTTTCTTTTAGCAGGTTTCTTTTCCTTTGTCGTTTGAAAACTTGAGGGTAGTAGAGCCCTTTGTGAAGGTAATTCAGCAATGAAAAGCAGGGTTTGAGCCCAACCAGCATATTTGCCATATTTGCTCACAAATGCATCTGCCACGCGACTGCAAAGTTTAGGTGTCAGCCGGGCACCTGCAAGCTCGGGGATGAGATATCTAGTTGCAATCTTGCTCAACCCCAGCAACAAAACATGTGCACGTCAACATTTTAGGAACTCGTGTATACAACACTACAAATAATAAAGAATGCCAGGTGTATGGTGATTGCTGGTGGAAAGGTTGGTAAACAACTACAATTGCATGGTAATACACATATCTTACAGAGTGTCGAGCACTGTGCTGTACTAATAGAGCAATATCCAATAAAAAGGAATCATCAGACTAACTGCTTTCATGATCCTGACCTTTGACTTCAAGATTAACAGCTAGGTGAATGGCAAGTTAGATTTCATGCTACCAACGCAAACTAACTGGTAAGAAAATTAGCAGTGATGATGTCACTGAAATCTTCATACAAGCAATTTCTGTAGAAACAGAAAGAGAAATTCAGTTCTAACATATTGAATTTTGAAAATATCAGCATTGTTATTTCCTTCTAAACATTTTGATATTTCATTAGTGCTTTTCAACTTAGCCAAGACCATACATGAAAATGAGAATTTATACCTTGTACAAGGTTTAAATTTGGACTTCTTTCGGATAAGTAAGCATACAATTTTGGATCCATATGTTACATCTTTACTTGTTTTGGCTTATATATGTCAACATATAAACTAACTGAGCAAAGTGGAAGTCAGCCTGACTCAAACTGAGCATATATGCGAGTAAGCAAGGGACACCTGACTTAAGGCAGATGGACTTGGGCTGGAGTATGAACTAAACTATCTTATACAAGGGGCTGATTAGCCTGATTGGGAAACCAACCCATCTCATTCAAGTGTATTTTGGAGAGCTTCAAAAAGGGCAACCAAGTTCCGTTGGAACAAGTATATGCCAATTTAAACAATGTTAAGAAAGAACTTTGGAAACATATTCCCTTCTTTGTTCCTATCATTTTTCCAGCAACAAATACGAAAATCATGTTTGGATGGCTGGACTTTTGGAGTCACAAACATCAAGGATAAAGCCAGCATTCTTATCAAAACCATGCGGTCAAACTTCAAACTAGAAGTGAAACATTATATAGTGCTGTATTGGTGACAACATTATGTAGTCGCAGAAGCATGTTTCTGGGATTAGTAGATATACAACACTGGAAAGTTCACCTGCCACACATGAGTATCAACTGGAATGGCATGATGCTGATCAAGTGAGAAGAGAGCAATGCAGGCTGCCACCTTTGGACCAACACCAGGTAGAGTAGAGAGAGCATCTATCACCTCTGATAGATCTGATTCCCGGAGAGACATTAGCCACTCCACACCTCCACCAGGTTTTGATTGCAAAGCATCCACAGTGCCAATTATGTATTTAGCCCTGCTCATTTTATCAAGACAAAACCAAAATATGGTACACCAAAATTAGATGCAAAACCTACTATATAATTTAGTGTGGCAAAGACTTCTATACTCAACCATAAATTGAAAAGGTATACCTATGGTACAACGGATTTCCAGTTTTTCCAAACAGTTAAAGATACATATATCAGCCCTCCTATGCACAATCATATTATCATGAAGATTTACTTATTAACTTTCTGGACCTGAATAACATGTTGTTTAAGGCTCTATTCTGATAAATGTTGAATAATTTATAAATACAAAGTGAAATTGCACCCGTTAGTAAGGGTAGTCAGATATATAATCTGGTATATACTTACCCCTAAAGTAAAGCAACAACCTTTAATCAGGTTTGTACATCTAAAAATGCTTGTAAGAGAATCATTACAGCTGAAAGACAGCAAAGAGTGAGTTATTTCTTAACTGAGGTGGGTGATTCAGGACATAGATTTGAATATCCATATATATGTATATATATATATCATTAGACTAAATACAAGGAATATTCTATATTAAATAAAAGGACTCAAGGAATAAAGCTAGGAAGCCAGGTCTAAGGAATAGTGCCAGATATGCTAAATAAAATTACAATGGAACTAAATTTATCATTGAGGCAATAAAATCCAATAATTTAATATTGGATATTGGTTTAGAGCCACAATGAAATCTGTCAAGCTGAAGATGCAATGCTTTATGATAATAGATTTATGGACTTCTAACAACATATCAGTAAAATTTCGGGATTCACTTTCAACTTGATTTGGACCCAGATTAATGGCAAGTTTGTCTTAATTCCATATTAATATGAACTCAAATCAGCAAAAGGCTCTTATCCAACTAATGAGGGCTGGCTAAATAAATCCTGGTTCACCTTTCCGCTTTATAAAGGGCATCATAACCTTAGCAAAACTATGATACATTTTCTTAGTCTCAACCTATATTAGTTTTAGCTTTTCCATTTAACATTATCCTTACTGTGTATTCTGTCACCTTTCCTCACTGGTGTAGCTATCGATCCTCACTGTGCATAACCAAAACATCTAAATTAATTTCTCTCGTTTTATCTCAAACAAATACTTCAACCATCTCAAGGATGAGTTCATTTCAAATTATGTCATTTCTTTTCTTGTCACACATCCATCTGGATATATGCATTTCAATATGTTCATTCTATGAACTTGTAGTTTCTTAACTGCCTTAAGTCTGTCCCATTAAGTTATAAATGTATAATTGGTCTAATTACTGTTTCATAAGATTCACCTTTCAATTTTTTATTATTTATTTTTGATAAGTAGATTCACCTTTCAATTTTAGAGGTAATTAATTATGTGACTACTATCATCATCAATCTCCTAGCCTATGTGAATAATTGAACTTAAGTAACAAAATGATTTGCCTTTTGGTATATTTTGATCCTCAATCTTCACTACATCCCTACTTGTATTTATAACTTTACTAAAGTTAAATTCCATATATTTAGTCCTAAATCTACTTATCTTAAATCCTCCTGATGCTAATACTTCTCTCAAGATCTCTAATTTGGTACTTATCATATCTTTAGTTCCATCAATTTAGATAACATATTCATTAAAGGGTATATGACTATACGCCATGGATACTGTTTCAGATGAAGGCAAAGATGATGATGATTAAAGCGTGTATATTTTTTTGCGAGTTTGTCTCTGACTAAAGATGTGGCTTAATGTTGATAAACGATATAAGCCTACATAAATCAAAATTTTACTAGTTTCCCCCACAACTGTTCTTACTAAAGTCACAATTCAATTATACACATCCTCTATCGATGTTAAAATTGTACTCATAACTCCTTTACTTTCTAATACCCACTATAATAGATCACCATAGATTCTATCATAGATTTCTTCCAAATTGTATAAATTATACACAATCTTTCTTCTTCTCTCTATAACTTTCAGTTTAATCTCTTTAGTAAGTAAACAGCTCCTCTGTTTACCTTTCCAGCACAAATTGATTTTTTGACAATGTAACTTAAAATCTCATTTCCCTAATTAAGTCAACATACCATATTACCGCAATTGCTCTTCAGAAAAAAGTGAGCACCTTAAAGACTGGGAAAAATGAGCAACTTTTTTAATCAAAACTCTAACAGACATAGTAATTTCAAACAACAAAACATGGAAAGTAAATGCAATCACCATTCTGCATTCCCATTATGTGAAGCTAATTGAATAACTTCAAGTATTCCATAAGGAATATCTGCAAATTTAACGAGTAAAAAGCCCAATATCTGAATATCTCTCTAAGTTCTAATTCAAGTACCATTGTTACTTTCAATGTAGCTTATAGGCAAAAGAAAGAGATTGACACAAACCAGAAAAACAGGGCAATTAAACAAGAAATAAGTAAAACCCAACCTGTAACCAAAACCTGCCTCTCTGAGCTCCATCTCAGAAACTTGAGATAGCCTGTCCAAAGATGGGAATTCGTGGAATTCCAAACCTTCAACCGTCCCCAAACACTTCCCTAATGATGAAACAAAATCGACCATCCCAGTAATTCTCCGAATATTGTTGTTAGATGAACAGAGAAACTGAATGAGGCACTCAAGTGGGTCTTGCCTGAGCACTCGAGCACCGCCCAAACACTGCGCCAAGTCGGCGAACCTCGAATCGGAAGCCGAAAACGCCTCCCACAGATCACCCAAACAAATACCCACATTGAGAAAATCCAACAAAGCCAACCTAGCACTCTCCTCACATGCTGTGTGATGAAAACAATAAGCAACATCGCCATTATCCACCTCCTTGAGGGACACCAAATGGGACCCGACAACGCCTGTGTACTGAAAAGGCCCTGTTTGTTTCCACCTGAAGGTTTGACCAGTTGGGAAAGTGAGAGGCAAGAAAAGCTCCGATTTTCCGATATTGAGAGGCACCCATTTGAGGGCTTGGTGGTCTGGTGAGGATGGCCTTGTGGGTTGTGGTGATTTTGAGGGTTTGAGACTGGTGAGGATGTTTCTGGGTTTTTTTATGGAGTGTGAGATTGATTTGGGGGTGGTGTTGGAATGGAGAGTTCTGTGGAGGGTTTGCGGGGTTGGAGGGGTCGAAGGAGGGGTGAGTGGTGGCTTGGGTCTCTGTCTCTTCATGGTTAAGAGTGGTCTTAGTGATTGCATAAATTGATTGCTTGATTTGGAGGGATTTGAGCTCTCTGGCTCATGGGAGAGAGGGGGTGGAGAGACAAAACTGGGAGTTAGGATTTGGTTTTTGGGGAAAAAAAATAAATTAAATTATAGGTAAATTACAGAATCTCCCTTCATATATATATATATATTTTTTAAATAAAAAAATAATAGAATAATTTACTTAAATCACTCTTATAATTTATCATAATTACAGTAATTTTTCCTGTTGCTTGAAAATTTACCCGAATTTTTACTATTTGTGAAAATATCTTACACGAAATCCCTTATGTGTGACGGACCCTCAAATACATTAACTAAACTGTCAAAATTACTGAAATGCCCTCAAATTTATGTGATAAATGACTGAAAATACCATACATACATATATATATGGATAGAGAGAGAGGATCTGAGAGTTGACGATGCAGAGAAAATGCTGGCGGAGAAGCCGAAGCCACAACCGCAACAGCAGAGTTGCAACGTCACCGTATCTGTGTGTCCTGTTCCTGTGCTTTCAATCTCACACACTTCCATTCATCCCTTTTTTTATTTTTCTCTCTCTTTCTCCCATGCACATAGTTGAGCTCTCAGTCAAAGCAATTCATTAAGGTTTGTGTGTTGAAACTGGCTCAATCAATCTTCTTCTCTTCATTGAACGTACCTTTATAAAAACCATGGCCGGCCGCTAAGTAATTGTGTTTCTATCTGGTTCCTTTGGAACCTAATTTCAAAAACCAAAAAAAAAAAATTAATTATATTTTTATTTTTCTGCTCATTTATATGAAAGACAGTCAAACCCATCTTTCATTAAGCCTCTATTAGTCACTCTCTTGTATTAATTTGTGTTTGCATTGAAACTGGATCTATCCATTTTTTCTCTTCCTTAATTAAATCTTTATAAAAACATGGCCACCAAGTAAGTTTGTTTCTCTCTGGTTCCTTTAGAACCTCAATCTCAAAACCCAAAAAACAAAAAACAAAAACAAAAACAAAAAAGTTCAGAATACCAGAATCGGAGACAGATACACCGACGGCATCGGTGCCGGCGACACCAGGGATGCCGGCAGCTCCACTGTTCAATTCACTGCGAGTGGACTCGCCGTCTTATGATCGGAAGTAAACGCCCCGATGCAAGTGCTTGCCTCTTGACGTCCCTACCTGGGTGAAGAAATTAGGTATGGAGGTAAGTTATTTTTGTCCCCAATAGAAAAGATATTAAAGTCTCATATAGTCACATGCCTATCAAAAATCATCAAGGCTATAGTACTTCATCGCTGGAGCATGGCGTTTTATCTTAACATTTTAACTATGTCACTGGAAATATTGTGGCCCTCCTGCCGGAATGAGTTTTTTTTTTTTTTTTTTTTTTTTTTATTTATTCTATCTCCTTCTGCAATTCTCAATACTCAAGCTTTCCATCAACATCTATCTTCTCAATCCTCATTCGATCTCAATTATACAAAAAAATCACAATCAATAACCAAAAAAAAAAATGCAATCTGGGTATCCTAAAAAAGCATTGCCAAGACATGCCCATTTAAGATCACAACACTTTGTTGTACAAAAACTAAAAAAAAAAAATACAACTTGGGTAATTCAAGAAATGTAAAATTACAATCTGGGCATCAAACAAACAATTACTTAACAAGACATAATCAAAACACTCTCAATTTCAGAAATTGAAGAAACTACCATGTGGGTAATTGAAGAAATGCAAAATTATGATTTGGGTATCGAAATTGAGGTTGAAAGAGCTGAGTGGATGCGGGATAATTGATCAAATGGATGCAGGATAATCAAAGGACAGGGATAATTGATCAATGGCGGAAAATATATATATATATATACACACACACATATATCTTTTATAATATGAAATTATATAACCAAGGGTATTTTAGAAACTTTAAGTAAAAATAGTAGCTGGGGTCATAAATTTTCGTCGTTGACTCTAACAGAAAGGAAGTTCAGATATTTTCAAAAATAAAGAAGATCCGAATAAATTCTCAACCAGGAAGGAATGTCTCTATAATTATGGCAAATCATACGAGAAGTTTGTGTAAATTATCCAAAATAATAATATCAACAATTTTATAACTTTTAAATTTTAATTATATCATTGGATACTAAGGGCAACCAGTGTAATGCCTTTAGGAAGTCATGTATTGCTAGTGTTTGGCTTGGTATAAGGCTGGCAATTTGTGGAACCCACACGAAAAATAGCAAAAGACATAGCAACAGATAACAATGGTGTCGCGAGCCATGACTGGGCCCACAACTGCTGCAACGGCCCTTTTCCCTTTTTTTATTTTGGTTTTTTTCTTTACTATTTCCTTTTATATGTAATTTATTTTTATTGTAAAAAATATATTTATGATTTATGATTTATGATTTATGATCTATGATTTTGATTATTTTATTTTATTTTTTATTTTCAAATAAATATATATGATTTCTATTTCTTTGTCTTATGAATTTTTTTTTTAAAATTTGTCAACAAATTAATATATATGAACTTTTTTTAAAAAAAATAATATTGTTAGAAATTGTTTTTTTTCTTTACTATTTCCTTTTATATGTAATTTAATTTTATTGTAAATATATATATATATATATATACATATATATATATATTTATGATTTTGATAATTTTTTTCTTTAAAATTTGTCAACAAATATATAAGAAAAAAAAAATTAAAATAATATTTTATTCATCACAAACATATAATATGAAGAAATACATTTTACTCAATATTATCGTTAAATTTCTTCATTGCCAAATTTATTCCACAAATACTCCATGAGATCCCCATTGTTTTCTGCATTGCGAATCCTGCTGAGGCGAGTGGAGATGTGTACTGCCAAAAATGATCGGTCTTGATTGTACCGTGGAAGGTAGACCGACTCATCCGTTTGAGGTGTCCATTCTAAAATGTTAGTGTTGCCCTCGTCTTCTATGACCATGTTATGCAATATGATGCACGTTCTCATTATCTTGCTCAGGTCTTCTTTCTTCCAATAATATGCTGGTCCATGCGTTATAGCCTACCTTATCTGCAACACACCAAATGCCAGTTCAACATCCTTCATAACGGCTTATTGTCTTTGAGCAAACAACTTCTCTTTTCCAGTAGTTAGGTGCGGAATGGTTTGAATCAAAGTTGCCCACTTAGGGTATATACCATCAAATAGATAATACCCCAACGTACGGTGATATCCATTCACCTCGTAATTAACTGGAGGCATTGTATCATTAATGATATGATTGAATACTGGGAAATGATCCAAGACATTCACGTCATTGTGTGAATTAGCCATACCAAAGAAAACATGCCAGATCCACAATTTTTTTTGATACAACCGCCTCCATATAAAGGTAGGCTTATGATCTCTCCCCTTGTGTGCGCCATGCCACCCTTTAGGGCAATTCTTCCATTCCCAATGCATACAGTCCATAGAGCCAAGCATATCTATAAATCCTCTTTTTTCCCCTTTTTCGAAGTAAACGTGTAATGTCGCTTTCGTTTGGCGAGCGTAGGTACTGCTCCGCATACAATGCAATTACAGTATCACAAAATCTCTTCAAACTTTCGATCACAGTGTGCTCTCCAACCTTTATGTACTCATCACAAAGATCCGCTTAAATTCCATAGACAAGTATACATATTGCTGATGTCAAATTCTGTATAGGGGTGCACCCCATACGACCTATAGTATCGGGCTTCAGTTTGAAGAAGTTATCATGAGTTGTAATATCGTTCAAAATGTGAATAAACAACTATCGTCGCATTCGGAACTGTCTATGAAAGTATTCAGATGGAAACACAAGATTTTCAGTGAAATAATCTTTCCAGAGTTGTTATGCTGCATCCTCCCAATCATGTTTAATATATTGTATCTTCTTTGGTTAAAATAATGCTTTTAGATTCTCAGGCATAAAAATACCCAGAATCGTTTTGATCCTTTTATGATGTAATTGATAAACCATCTCCCGATCAGAATCTGACGAATTCTTTGAAGAATCATATTCGGAGATTCGAAATGATTGTGATGATGATGCCATTTTTTTTTTCTTATAAAGAAGTTGAGAATTAAAATAAAAGAAAAAGTGGTAGAGGAATCAAATAAGATAAAAAGGGACTTGAGGAATGAAAGAAGAGAAAATGGATTTGAGCAATTACAAAAGAGTAAATTAGTGGTTTATAAAGCCGTTGGGAATATAGCTGTTGGGTATACAACAATCTCTATAAATACCACACTCATTTCACTAAATACTCATCCTTCAACACTCATTTCACTAAATCATTATCCTTCAACGCTTATTTCACTAAATCATCATCCTTCGACACTCAATGGATCAGCGACCTCCATTAAACAACCCTCATTTTAACCAATATGGAAACTTCAAAATACTATCTCAATTCAATTATGGTTGGCACTTTCAAGATCCAATCCATTATGAATATACATCTCAACCCCAATTCCAAAACAAAATTTATTCAGAATACACACCTTAATTTCAAAATCCATTTAATCACCCTTACACATCTCATTTTCAAAATCCATCTAAACAACCTCCATACACACCTCAATTCTAAAATCCATCTCAACAACCCCCATACACTCCTCAATTCCAAAATTCATCTCAATCTTCTTAATCACAGCTACCCTAAAAGAAAAAAGGGTGGGAATTGGTCCGAAGAAGAATACATAGAATTGTGCAAAGCATGAATCATGATTGGTGAAGATCCAGTGACTGGTATAAATCAAAGCAAGGGTACATTGTAGGAACGAATTCATGCTCATAGGGTTAGGCAATTGGGAGACACGATGATCGAAGAAAGATCACACGGTACTCTGATGAACCATTTTTCAAACTTTCAACGTGAAGTAAACAAATTTTCTACATACTAAAAAAATGTCCACGACAATCCAATCAGTGGTTACAGCGAGAATGATTTGGTAAGTTTTTACTTTGTACAATATTTTTTATTCTTAATTTTAATCCAACTTATTAATTTCAATGATTATTTATTTTTTTATAAATGAATACTGTTATAGAAGTATATAAACTTTAATAGAAACAAAAATTTAAATACGAGCATTGTTGGAATGTTATTTGGGATTCGGAAAAATGAGAAATGCATTACAACGTTAACGAAAATCCAACTAGACGACCAATTAAAAGAGGTGTTGATCTTAATATGAATGAGCCAGGAAATTGGTTTGAATCGACTCCAACAACACCAGGTTCATCAACTCCTGCAGTATTAACTCCAGGGTCGGTAAATCTTAGTGATGATGATACACCAGTCGATACCGAAGGTTTGAATATGTCACGTCCTGAGGGACAAAAAGCAAGGATGATTTGTAAAAAGAGAACGCCATCTCTTAAAACAAGTATTCTTAAATAATTGGAAGCTGTAACAGCACAAGGCGTCATCTTTGGTGAAACAGGTGTGGAAGGAGAGCAAATGAGACTTCAACTTTCCATGGAGAGACAATGGACTAAGCAGCTGTCGATAGAATCAAATTTAGAGAAAGAACGAACTAAACAGTTAGAAATAAAAACGAGAGAAATAAGGGCTGAAATGGAGTTTGAAAGAGATATAATGCGTCAAGATCCATCGAAGGCTCCAACAGAAGCATCAAAGGCATGGATCATTCAACAATAAAATCAAATCTTAAATAAACTAAATCAAGGTGGTGGTTATATGTAATTATTTTTATTTGTGAGAAAATATGTAATGTCTTTTTATTTTATTTATTTAATTGTGAGAAAATATGTAATGTCTTTTTATTTTATTTATGTAATTGTGAGAAAATATGTAATACCTTTTTTTATTTTATTTATGTAATTGTGAGAAAAATATGTAATGTCTTATTTTATTTTATTTTATTTATGTAATTGTGAGAAAATATGTAATGCATTTTAATTTTATTTATGTAATTATGAGAAAATATGTAATGCATTTTTTATTTATTTAATTATGAGAAAATATATTAATTTAAATGTATTAAAAGAATTCCATTCAAATATATAATAATAAAAAAAAATCAAGTGGTTGAAAAAGTAGCCGTTTTAAAGAATACAAACAAACAAAAAAAAAAAAATACGTTTTTAATTTTTTTTACTCAAAATATTAAATATATTAAAAAAAATACAAAAGATATAATAAAATAATAGATATCAATTAACTCATACCGTGGCTCAAATATAGCAATATACTGTAGCTTGCCACATCAGCACAATTGCTGATGTGGCTAGCAATCTAACAAAGCATTGCTAGCCGGTATAACTAGCACTATACCAACTACCCTAATATTGTAGTATACAAGAACAAAAACGTAATTATAAACTTGACAAGTCTAACGGAGGTCAGTGTAGTTTAACAAATGAGAGGAAAAGTCTGTATATATTGATGAAACCCTAAAAGAGATTAGTGTAATTTAGCAAACAAGAGGAAAAGTTTATATATATTAATGAAACCTTAAAAAAAGTTAGTGTAATTTAGTAAATAAGAGTGAAAGTCTCTTTATATTATGGATGCATGCGATTCTATTTGATTCGGTTCCAAGCCAAAGCAAAATCAAACTGTTTTCAATGGTTCCTATAAAAATTAAAAATTAGGACCGAGGACCAAGACTGTTGATATATGGAATAAATGATAAAAGACTGGTTCTGTTCAATTATAAATCACAATTTTCTTTTGATAATATTGTGGGAACAATATGTTTACTTTTTAAAATATATATATTGTGGGAATAAACTCCCTACCAATCACATAGATACCAAACCAAATACAAAATTTATGACATGTGTATCTTATTATTAGGAATAACTACAATTACCTTCCTTGTAGATAACATGAATAACAGGTACCTCCCATGTAATTTCAAATACTAACATCTCATGTTAGTCTGGCTTTGACCCTAATTTGTTAAATAATTATTATACTTATTTTTTTCTTTTGACAAAAAAATACTTTTTAAGAGCATTCTCATATTTTAACTAGAATTTTAGCATGATATTAACACGTAAGAGTGCTAGAATTTATGACAAAGTAAGTTGACGTTACACAAACTTAAAACATAGCCATAACAAATATTATGTCATTGTATTACTCACCATTTTTTTACACAAACTTAAAACATGGCCATAACAAATATTATGTCATTGTATTACTCACCATTTTTTTTAAAAATGCGATAAAATCTAAGATTTTTTCTTTTTTCTTTTTAAACTAGTTTTAAGCACAATATTTGAAGAAACAATTGGGAGATTTTTAAAGTGTAGGGTGGAGGAAAAAAAACAGAAACGAAGAAAAGGAAAGGGAAAAGAGAGATTATAGGCTACGCCTAGGACATCATTCTGAGCACGTGCCTATCTCACGAGCAAAATGATTCACGCGCAGTGGGCGCGTACAAATTACACTCACCTGTTGAACTTTCACAGGTGTAAATCATAGGAGAGAATTAACATTTTCCCCAACAAAGCCGAAGAAAAGAAGCCACAACTCACCAGCGAAGGAAGAGCTTCTTAGTCTCTCTCTCTCCCCCGTCCACTGCACCAATCACAAACCCCACAAGTCTCGGCATAAACCCCTCTCTCTCTCCTCCCTCCCTCTCTAAAATTCTTCAACAATGCCAGCTTCCGCAGGTAAACGAAACCTAAATCTCTCTCTCTCTAAATCTCTCTCTCTCTCTATCTATTTATACACACATATATATATGCATCAAATGTCTCAATCTTGCTATGTATTCTTTAACAGAGACTCGCAACAGGTGGAGGAAGAGAAAGAGAGAGCCCCAAGTCAGCCGAAGGCAAAAGCCCCAAGACGAAGACGACGACGAGGAAGAAGACGAAGATGACCTCGAACACCAGCAACAACACGAATTCGACGATGACCAACCCAATCCCCAGTCGGGTTCGAACCGAGTCTCCGATCCACCCCCAATCGGCCGTGAAAGCGAGGTATTGTCGGGCGGTGGGGTTCGAATCTCCGACTTCCCTCCGGCGATCAAGCACGTAGTGAATCGTCCCCACTCGTCCGTGTTGGGAATTGTGGCTTTGGAGAGGGCGATTCAGTGCGGAGAGAGTAGGAGTCAGCAGAGCGCCGTCGTTTTGGAGAACATATCGTACGGGCAGGTCCAGGCGTTGTCCGCCGTGCCCGCGGATAGTCCGGCGTTGGCGGTGGGTGAGCCGGAGAGAGCTGATGGGTCATCTGGGGCGGCGTTTGTTATTACGCCGCCAGCAATTATGGAAGGTCGGGGCGTTGTGAAGCGGTTCGGGAGTGATCGAGTTCATGCTGTGCCAATGCATGCAGGTAATTACTCTCTCTCTCTCTATGGATTAATTTTGCTCTAAATCTCTCTGTGCACCCTAATTTAGCTCACTCAGGTTTGATTATGGTTCAGATTTTTTTAATATGCAAAGGTTGTTTTAATTTTATTTTTATAATTGTTCTGGTTTTGTACTTTTAGCACATTGCTCTCTCTGTGTATTTGTGTATTTTTTTATGTGATTCAATACGCAGTCTGGTTTGGAGCTATATGGTGCACATTAATGTTTTTGAGCTATGTTGTGCAATCTCTCCTGTGTGTGTTTTGGGAGCTAACTTTTTTGTTCTTTTGTTGGCTCTTCTTTTTCAATTAGATTGGTTTTCACCCAATACAGTGCATAGATTGGAGAGACAAGTAGTGCCACATTTTTTCTCGGGCAAGTCAGCAGACCATACACCGGAAAAATACATGAAATGTCGGAATGGAATTGTTGCTAAATACATGGAAAATCCAGAGAAGAGGCTATCAGTTGCTGATTGCCATGGGGTGGTAGGTGGTGTTGATAATGATGACTTAACTCGAATTGTTCGCTTTCTAGATCACTGGGGAGTCATTAATTACTGTGCTGCTGCTCTGAATCATGAGCCTCGGAATGATGGATCATATTTGAGGGAGGATTCAAATGGCGAGGTTCAAGTGCCATCGGCTGCTTTAAAGTCTATCGATAGCTTGATACAATTTGACAGGCCAAAATGCCGGCTCAAGGCGGAGGATCTTTATCCATCATTGTCATGTCAAGGTGATGAGCTTTCTGATCTGGACAGCAGAATCAGAGGACGATTATCTGAAAGCAGATGCAATTATTGTAATCAGCCCGTGCCCATTGTGTTCTATCAGTCACAAAAGGAGGTGAATGAAGTACTTCTTTCTACTCCATTATTTCTTCTCTATCATGCTTATCTCATAATTTTTGTACTTATTACTTCTTTTCCTCAGATGAATTTTGTTAAGAAGTCCAATTGAACATTTTGAAAATGCTGACCAAGGCTAATGGACTTCCAAAATTGTTAGGACGTATTATATTTAACAAATATATCACATGATTCTAAATTAATTCTTCAATGATGAAAGACATTTAGATGGAAAAATAATTTTGAAAGACTATTCAGTGAGGAAAATCATAAAGAAAAAATTGCAAGTTAAGAACATAGTATTGGAATGATAAGTCTAATCCATACTAAAGTGGTAAAGGAAACAAAAAGGTATGTTACGTAATAATAGGATATTGAATGGGTTTTGTCATGACCCGCCCAACCCATGTAGATATATTGTCCACCTTGCAAACTCTCCCCTTGGTGCTCACAATTTTCCGCAAACATGTCTACATGGTTAAGTGGTGTCCACAAATACAAGTCTCAACAACTTCTCCTCCCTAGGCGATGTGAGACGTCCCAATCGACCCCCCTCTTGGGACCCAGGTCTGACTTGCATGGGCTTGTGCAGGTTCCTCATTTCCAGCTGGGGATTGGCTCTGATACAATTTGTCATGACCCGCCCAACCTATGTAGATATTGTTTGCTTCATTCTCATCTCAGTGCTCTTGGTTTTGCTCAAAAGGTGTCTACATTGTTAAGGGGTGTCCACACATATAAGTTTCAACAACTTCTCCCCCGCACGCGATGTGGGACGTCATAGTTTTGCAGGATTAGTCCAGCTATTCTTTAGGGCAGAATTCTGTTTATTTGAAAATAAGGAACACATTGATGTCGTTGAAATGAGAATGTGAGACCAACGATATGAGAATGTGAAGGGCTATGAATGTTAATCAACTTGTTGGGAGATACTAGAAGTGACACCTACTAATTATAAAAAATAATAGGATATAGGTGTGGTATGGACAAATACAATGTAGATCAGTAGAGCACAAATAAGAAAAGAAAAATAAGTTAAAATAGAACGTACACGACAAATAGGTAGACTAAACCTAACACCGGGGAAGTGATGTGGAGAGAAATTTAGATATTATATATAATAGGAAACATAACTTGTAATAGAAGAGGATAAGAAGAAAATTAATGACACAAGTCACATAATTGACATTGACCACATCCAATTGGATTGTAATAGAAAGGGTTAGAAGAAAATTCATGTGATCTCACATTCAATTGGATCAAGGCGAGGATGATGAGCTGATGACTGTTCTAGTGGATCAAATACGGGAAAGTTACATTATCTTAGGAGCGCAGTTGATCATTCTAGAAAATAATATTTCCTTTTCCATGTGGCAAATGATTTGAAGCTAACAAGTACTGAAGTATGTGAAAAGAATGGGGCCCAATAAAAACAAATTGGAGAAGCAATCGCAACTAATGCTATCCGATCTGAGTATTATATCATGAAATGCCACTGCTGCAGGATTTATTTGTCATAGGTTGATTGATTACTGTAATTCTGTGATAATCCCTTTACAATGATGGACTTAGATGTACAATTACATGTAAATCACTGTGGGCTAATATAATTAGTTTGGTCGTGCAAATGCTTTTAAAAATGTTATCATCTAACAGAATCCTGTTCATAAACTGATTGATTAATGGACAATTTTTGTTGTTGTGCGAGCATTTACAAATGGTTACTTTAATTAATGCTTAAAAAATGAGGAACTGCTTTTCTTGTTCCGTATTCATTATTTCATTAGGATGCCCTTGATGCAAAATTTTGTCCTTTTTGGGATCAGTTCTGAGAAATATTATAGTAAATTACCATGTCTTTCTATTTTCCAAGACGCTAATTTCTTTTGTCTTTTTGGGGTTGTATTTCATTACTTATCTTAAAATAGATTTATGCTGGTTATTGTTTGCGTATTGTTGGGGTATAGGGTGAAGGGGGGATTTCCCACTTGATTTGTGTATTGTTTCTTTGTTTTATAGGTCCCCAAAAAAAAAAAAAATTAAATGCATGAAGATAAAACTTAATATCAAATTAGATTATAGGTCCCCTAAAAGTGCCTGTAATGTCATAAGGAACTTACAGCTTGAACATTTATCTATTTGATTCGTAAGATGTTGTATTCGTTGTTTAATATGAATATTACTTTTAGAATTTGAGACTGCATCTTTCCACCATGCTTTAAATTAAAGAATTTGCATTTTTCTGTTAATTATTGGGTAACAAGAAAGGAAATCAATTCATTATTCTTCAAAGTTTAATGTATTGGAAATTTTATTTGATTTGTAGTAGGCTACCTTTTGTTGTTGAGAAGAGTTATGGAAATGACTTTTGTTAAAGGAAATCAATTCTTATCGAGGCGCCTAGGCCTATTTTAATAAATGGGAATATGATATGTAGGGTTTTGAGGATTGTCATGTACACTTGAATGGTTATTAATTGGAAGTTTGAGAAGCTCGGTTCCATGACCTTCACATACCGGGACTTCTATTTCTTTGGAACCTCAGTTTATTGTGGTTGATCTTTTCTCGTATTGGAGGCCTTGTCTTTCTGTTCATTTCATTTCTTCTTCTTCGTTTTTTTTTTTTTTCGAGATAATTGTGATACACACCCCGCGTTATTGGGCTCGAACCCTTTGTGTTAACAGGAGATCTTGACCTTCCTTTGAAAAGTAGGGGCCTTGTACCGCTAGGCCACAGGCCTGTTGGTAGATCACTAGAGATTTTATTTTGTTGGGACTGGAAAATGACAAGGTTCTTGTGGATATCTCAAGCTTGAGTGTTGATGAAGCATGGACACAGATATGGAATGCAAACACGATGCAATGCGTGCATGTCACTATAACAAATTCTTAAAAATTCTGATACAAATACGAGGACACGACAATAGATATACTATTTTTATGTAATATGTTTAAAAATTAAAATATGTATGTTATTATGTATAAATTTAAATTGATAATTGTTTGTCATAAATAACAATACTACCTTTTAAAAGAGTTATGACATGAAATTTTCCCATTATGTATCAAGTTCTCTTTTTTGAATAAAGTCCAAGTATTTATAACCTTTGTTTTTCTTCAATAACAATTACACTGTGCTATTATACTTAGAAATATGTAATTTCAAATCATGGATAAATTAGGAAGCATCAAACACGTATCCATAAGTATCTGAAGAAGGCCCCTTTTAGAAGTATCCATGCTTCATCGTTGGGTATTAATTTTCATACAAGAAAAATCATCTAGCTTAATCACGCTGAGGACGAGCTTGGTTTCTTAGATGCTATCAGAGGCTTTAAGTTGGAGCGTATGTTACCAGACTCATTAGTTTGCCATGGGGTACTTGTGTCAACACAACACAACTTGGACATAGGTGCTGGACCGGTAGGTCATGGTATTATACCACTATCTTTGAACTAGCAAAGAAGAAGACAAAGAGGACAACTAAGAAGGGAAGGAAAGAAAAAGGGAAATTACTGACCTATTCTCATGGCTTCCCTTTATTAGCATTTGTAACAGAGTTGAAAAGTTTGCTGGAAGGTACTTTTCTTGTGATTTGTCTTTGTTGGAGTCAGATACCCCCGGAAAAGTTAATTGTTCAGTGATTATTGTTGTTGGCATGCTTGTGGAAAACATGAAATTATACATAAAAGACATTTTCCTTCTATTTTATTAGAATATTTTTTCTATAATATTGGTTTTGTCTATTATATTTTTATTAGATTAATATTTATTATTGGTTAGTGATCCCGATTTGCTAAAAGACTTAGTTTTAGTCATTTTATGCTGACTAATCAATGTAATTGCTGCGAGATTAGGCATAAGGCTTAAAAGAACACAAAATGGTGGGAAAAGACTAGAATAACTCTCTTTATGCGCTACTGAGTCACTACCCTAATCCCTCACCCATAAGATAAAAAGAAAGACCCTAATAATTGTTTTTGTATTTTTAAAAGTAAAATTCTATTTACCCCACACTTTTGTATATTTATTCTTACAATGACACAAATCACACACACACTATAATTTACCCTTTCTCTTGTTTTATATTTTTAAACAAGTACCCACTCTTATTTTACAGATTCTTCAACACTTCTTATCCTTGTTGGTGTATCCCAAATTTTAGAATGTTAGATATTAGAAGATAGATACACCTGTTCCCAGCATCTGTATCAGGATCTAGGTGACATAGGTTGGAGCAATGGTGGGCTCAACTTCTTATGATGGTTCATGTATTTTCCTTGCAGTTGTAGCTGCATAAAAACCTTGCGTACTTTATCAAAAAGAACTTTAGAAAAGGGAATTTGTGATTATGACGTGTCATATTGCCATATCGATGGGCAAATACCTGCAGTTGTGTTAGTATTTTTGGTGTATTTTAATTGCAATTGCTAAGTGAAGGCTATGCAAATAATTCTCTCTCTCCCTTTCTCTCTCATGGTTAACTGAGAAAAGGTAAGGTTAGATTCACTAGCAAGCTGTGCTGAACATGTTCAAGCTTGACTCATATACTCTTGGGTGACCTCGTCGTGTTAGGCTAAGCCTGGTTTGATCTAATAGCCATGGACTTGGAACTCTATTTTGCATATATACACGCATAAATTCACTCATACATTTGATTTCTCAAGAAATTTTTGTACATACATGCACACGTCACTTGATTTAATTCAGTTGCACACTTAACTTGGATGGGGATATGTACAGCCCAATCTTAATATTTTTAAGTACTTGTTTATGTATATACTTATATGTCAGCATACGTGCAGGCCCTTTAATTTTATTATTATTATTTATTGAATTGACACTCATTTACATATTTAAATGTGTAATAGTATATCAGTTAACTCAGTTCATTAACAACCTTGACATTGTTGAACCAATGTACAAGTCATTTAAGTCTCATGTTACAACTCATAACCAACGAGTGAGTGGGAACTTTTGATAACTAATCAATTAGTGGAGTTAAAGAAAAAGCCTCAAAATATATTTGTCTTGCATAATTTACACTTGTGATTTTTACAACAGAATAACAATTTATTATTGTTAATTTGTTAATGTGTGGGCTAGGACTTGTTTTATCTTATGGGTATTTTTGACATCACAAATTATGTCTTACGTAGACTTGACCTGTTTTTTTAGTGATCCTTGGAACCTAACCTGTATGAATTATACAACTTGGAATTTATTTGGGTTGCACAGTTTTTATTTGGTTATCAGAAAATCAATGTATAATATGACTTGGGTTGGGATAGCTGCTATAGGATAATATATATGCTGATATTGAGGTCCCACGGGCTGAAGGACTTCTTGATGAAGTTGCTACTGTTAATGATATATGATTAGGATAACGCAGGTTGACTTTTTCGAACTAGTCATCCTTTACGTGGCTTAAAAAAGAAAAAATTCCACCTGGGATATACCGTATACTATGTACATACAAGATTTTTTTTATCCTGTGTCATCCTATCTGAGAGGGTGTAGGTCTGAAATGGATTTATATGCTAAATCTGGAGTCTGAATGTATTCATTCTACTTCATTTTCACTTCAATGGCTAAGCAGCATCTTTTTTGACAGGTTGATATACTACTATGTGTGGATTGCTTCCATGAGGGAAGATTTGTTATTGGTCATTCAAGCATAGACTTTTTCAGGGTTGATTCCACAAATGACTATACTGATCTGGACGGGGAAAGTTGGAGTGACCAGGAAACACTACTACTGCTTGAGGCAATGGAAATCTACAATGAGAACTGGAATGAAATTGCGGAGCATGTTGGTACCAAGTCAAAAGCACAGTGCATCCTTCACTTTATCCGTCTTCCCATGGAGGATACCCCTCTGGAAAATATTGAAGTTCCAAGCATACCCATCTCCTCAAATTTGTCAAGGACGGGTGATTCTGGAAGATCACGTTCAAGTGCAAATGGGGATTCAGCAGGTGTTATATATGCTCTGATAGTTTTTTTCCCTTTACTTAAATAGTGATGTGTTTGTAACAGTAGGTCTTTGCATTTCTCATCATTTCCTGTAGGATCCTGCCTCCAAGACCCTGATCCTGAAAGCAGGCTCCCGTTTGCCCAGTCTGGAAATCCGGTTATGGCCCTGGTAGGTGATTTTACTAAAACTCTGCTTCACATTTTTTATAAATCAAAGTACTTGCTTTTACAGCACACAAATTGCAATTGATCTAGTCTGGTTTTTGCAAATCTTGATTTTATCAAATTTTTTGATTTCTTATTTTGACAAATGTTTTTTTCTCCTTCCCTTTCTTTTCTCTGTACTGGACTTGAAACCTTGACGCAAAGCCACTAGGACAAAGGTAGACCATTTGCATTATGTGCTTAAAGCCACTGGGGCTTGATTTATCTAATTATATGATTTCTTATTTTGAAAACTGGTCTTCATTTATGGAGGCTGTACACGATAAGAACATGATATCAAGATTGGGACCCTAACCTCTTTTTACATGTATACGCTTAAGGGAAAGAAAAGGGCCTGCCGGGGGGGTGGGGGGCATAAAATGTTAAAGAAAGAAAATGAGACCAATAAGCTGACAGATTCCAGCGTATCATGTACTTAAAGTTCATGCAACCTGATTCCTTTGGCATAAGGTCTAGGACTCCAGTGTTTTATGACCTAGACAGTAAGATGACAGATTATGAATTCTGGAGAAATAAATATTTCGAATTAGATTTTCTAGTTATCTTAATGTATTTATTGTATGCAGGCCACAATCCTTAAAGTTCATGCAACCTGATTCCTTTGGCATAAGGTCTCAGACTCCAGTGTATTATGACCTAGACCAGTAAGATGACAGATTATGAATTCTGGAGAAATAAATGTATCGAATTAGATTTTCTAGTTATCTTAATGTATTTATCGTATGCAGGTCACAATCCTTAAATTATAGTTGGAAATGAAGTGCCTAACGAAAAGTGTCATTAGGATCGTTATCAGTGGGTTCCCGTTAATCAAGGGTGCTGGAAGGGGTAAACTAGATACAGACATAACCTTTGGCATTATTTGCACAAAGTTTTAACAAATTAAAATAAAAAAATCATTGTGGGTCCTTTATACTCCGCAAGATGTTTTAATTGGCCTGGAACTGGCGTTTGCCTGTAATTTGAATATGCCTATTCAGTTACCTATGTTAATGAATAATGTTCTCTATTTTCTTTTTAGTGTTATCTTGTTGATGGTTTCGTAGATGAATTTTCATTTTTTATTTGATTAAACTCATGCTGACCTAACTATTGAAAAATTTGTCTAGGTTGCCTTTTTGGCCTCTGCTGTGGGACCAAGAGTTGCCGCAGCTTGTGCCCATGCATCCTTGGCGGCACTGTCTGAGGACAGTGGCTTAGCTGCTTCTAAAAGTATTACACAGATGGAAGGATCTGGGTTTGGTAATAGGTGAGTGAAATGGCAAAAATTTAAAGCTTCCTTTTTTTTCTTTCTTTCTGGTTCTATCAGTCTTCATAGACTTTTGCCAAGTCTTTAATAGCATGCCTCAAAAAGAGTGTTTGTGTCGTCTTACTGTCAGTTCCAAGCAAGTATGGCTTCTGTTCTACTGGTAAGAATGGCTATGAAATAGGGAGGAAGATTACATTGTCATGCCTCACTATAAATTTTTAAAAGTTTTGTAATTCACAATTTTGGAAAAACAAACTTGATTTTTTTTCCACCTGTATGCATGCCAGGGAAGGGAATTATCGTGGAGAACTTACCAATTCAAGTCAGCAAAAAGGTAGACTGTCAATTTTGATATTCTTGTTAGATTTTTCTTCCTCAAATATTCATAGTTATTAAATTGCAGAAGAAAGCTCAGTAGTTCAAGGGCCATGTAATGTAGATGAAGGGGATGTTACTCCATTATCTGCTGAAAAAGTGAGCGCTGCGGTCAAAACTGGACTTTCTGCTGCAGCAACAAAGGCAAAATTGTTCGCGGATCATGAAGAACGTGAAATTCAAAGGCTATCTGCTAATATTATAAATCATCAGGTATACTTTTCTGATGTTCTTATTCTTTGGAATGTTTTGAAACTTTTGCCTTCTTCCAATAATTAAAGGTCTTTATTGATAAGTTGTCAACTTTCAAGTTCATTTATTTTGGTTTCCACTGGTTTATCTACATATAAGAAACTTGAGAAACATGCAAAATTTTCTTCAATTTTTTTCCCTGTTTTGATTGAGAGAGGCAATTTGATCTGCCTGCTCCATGTTCGAGGATTAAGGTTCCTTACTAAAAAGTTGATTGGCTTTTAAATTTTCCAAAACAAAGTATTAGTGAGTTCTCAACATGTGTGTGTGTGTATGTTTTTTATTTTTTTATTTTTTATTTTTATTTTTTTTTTGTTAATTTATGTTTTTAGTTTAAATTAGATATATTTTTTTTCCCCGAGACTTGTACCAAAAAGTCACATTCTTAATTTTTTTTCTTTTCTTTTCTATTTTCCTTTTTGAGTCCAGCTTGATTGGATTGGTTGGACCATCTGACCAGCAAATGGTTACCTTTGTGATTTGTTTTAGGTTCAAGTGGGGATATAAAGTGGTTTAGGAGCCAAGCTATTGGGTTGGATATGGGAAAGAGTGGCTTGTTTCTATCGTCCCCCCTTACCCCTTTTTCATTGTAATGCTCTTTAACGTGGAATATGAAATATGGAGTTGCCTAGTTTAGCAGTTTAACCTTGAATATCACTGGCTGCTATTGGTGCAAGTTCAAGCATCCACTTTTTGAAATACCAAAGGTTTAAGTGTGTCTCGAGTCTACTAAAGGCTAAGTATGTCTTGAGTCCTCCCTCTGTCATGGAACTAGAATTGAGCAATGTCCCTTTAAGTTAGAGATATTGTTATCGTAATCGTCATTATAACCATTATCTTATAGTTATAGTTTTTTTACCTTTCCAATTAAATAACATAAAAATAAATATAGATTTTTACAGGGGCACATGTAAATATATTTATCTCCCCCAACCTATCTTAATATGGTTGAAATAACGTTACCAAGGATCATCCAACTCATTCCTCATTTATTTATGGGTCTAGTAAACCTTGGGTCCTCTAATTATTTATTTATTTATTAATTATTATTAGTATTATTATTTTCCTGGGGTTGTGGCGGGGGGCGGGGCATGTAAACTCTAGAATTGTTAGAATGATGGTTTTGTCTTTCTGATGTGGTCACGATTTTAAACAAACCAATTTCCCACTACTTTTTTTTAAAATTTATTCTTTGTGGTTGATACAGTTGAAAAGGTTAGAGCTAAAGCTGAGGCAGTTTGCAGAAGTGGAGACCTTGTTAATGAAAGAGTGTGAACAGGTGGAGAGAGCAAGGCAGAGAATTGCTGCTGAGCGGATCCGCATGATATCAACTCAGTATGGACCTGCTGGAGTAACTCCATCAACGAGCCTACCAGGTGTTGGTCCTGCTATGGTTAATAGCAGTGGCAGCAATAGGCAACAAGTCATCTCAGGCTCACCCTCACCCTCACAGCCATTCGTTTCTGGGTATGGCAACAATCAATCAATTCATCCTCGCATGCCCTTCATGTCACAGCGGCCCATGTATGGAATTGGGCCGCGGCTGCCTCTTTCAGCTTTACACCCATCCTCGTCGGCTCCTCCTAATGTAATGTTTGATGCTGCGGCAAGTGCCCAGCCTGTTCCCAATCATCTGATGTCGAGGCCGGTACCAGGGACTAGCCCTGGTCCAGGTTGAAAATTACAGAAAGTGATTCAGCCTTGGAATTTTGTGGTTTATTGAGTTAAAATTTTCTTTCTCCGCATGAAGGGAAGAAAATAGAATCATAAGGGTAAGCTGTGAAATTTTTGTCTCCCTCACATTCTCAACTTTTGATCTGGATAGGAGCCACTGGGGACAGTATGGAATGCAGCCAAGAATGCAGCTGGGATCGATCACGAAATGAATCAGCTTTTTTCAAGCAAGGGAGGTTCCATCAACGGGTTGGTTCATGCACCACCGTCTTCATTTTTTTCGTACGATCATTTTCATTGTGATCTTTTAACCTGTAAAGATGAGGAAGATAACTTGACCAGGATGCTAAACTGTTGTTATCTTGCTGTACAGATAATGTCATGTGCAAGGAACTTTAGAATAATCAAGGTCCATTTGATGGTTTTAATATTTATTCCGTTCGCCACGAAAAATCTTCTTTCCATGAAGCTAATCATTCTTCTCCTAGGGTGCAGGTGAGTTAGGATGTGTTGAGAAGCATCAGTTCTAATTCACAGTTGAGTGAGTTTTCACTTATATCTCTTCTTGTTCTCTCATACTGGACTCTGCTAATTTGATTCATAGTCATATGTAAACCTCACTTGATGGTCCTTCAACTTGTTCCAATGAGCAAAGTTACTATTTTTCTAGATGATAGATAGTTGTTCATGGTAGGGTTATGATTGTAATGCACATAAAGTGCTGTACATTTAATTCACTTGTCACATATAGAGATAATTACACATAGAATTGGTCATACAGTTTTGCCTTTAAGCATCGTTATCATGTTATTCCCACTTAGTCTGCATGATGCGTGTTGAAGTGTTATTAGTAATTATTGTATGTTCGGTGATGGATTATGGAGTGTTATAAGAGGCCAATCAATGGCTAAGATTGGCCCCCCATCAGTTTGAAGCTTAGGTCAATGGAATGTATTGATAAATTAGGTCTGTAGAATCATGGCCTGAGGTCAGAATGAATCGGAGTCCCAACATTTCTATAACAATTGAAGCACGGTACTAATTTATACAATCAAATAGATTATAGTACATAAAAAAGTGACATTCTAAAAATGAAGCTCTTTTGCCAACATGTTGATGCATTTATATCCTACAGACATGTTAGGGACATAGAGCTTCATGCCATGAACCAAAACTTTCATAGAGTGCACTTCATTTGAGCATCCCTATTTAGGCAGTGGGATGTCAGCCAAATCCTCCCTAAAAGGAACACGGTCCGACCCCGGCAAAACAGCGGAGTTTCCATGCCCGTCCTCCATGATCGTCTGGACATTAGGGTTCTCAAGCTTCGTCGGCTCCACCCATGTCTCAACCTTGTCTCTGCGAAACATCAGATATATAACCGAAGAAATATAGATGGCCATTAGAGGGAACACTACGATTCCGACGAACACATTTGCAACTTTTGGTAAATTGTTGTGAATTAGCCAGCTGATGAAGCCTGTGGTCAGGTAATATATGTTTATGCCAATGATTCCCAACCCTAGTATCCATGAGAACACAATGATCTGCATTCATGAGCTTGAAATTGGTTAGTACATGAGGTTAAATTGGTTTTATTTATTTTTTAATTATATATATATATATATATATATATATATATATATATATATCTTACGTATATTGAGTTCTTGTGTGGTCCCATCTTGGTGGCACTACTACTGAATTTAAGGAGAGGAATGAGAGCAAATGGAAGTTCAAATGAAAGTATCATCTGCAAAATCAAAGACCACAAAAATAATTTTCTCAATTTGTATTAATAATTATAAGATAGACATATATATTAATAAAAATGTATTCCAAAAATAATTCACTCAAACTGTATTACTAATGATAAAAAAATATTAATAAAAAATGTAGTCCATGAATTACTAACCGAAGCAATTATGATTAGCCGTCCAGCACCCTGGGGCCCACCTATAATTGACACAATGAGACTAGGTGTAATGGCAATGCACCTAGTCAGAAGGTTCCTCTTCCATTTTCTCATCTTGAGGTCCAAAAAACCCTAAAAATTGCACCCCAATTTAATATAACATAATTACAATATTTTCATGCATATACACACACACACACACACACACACATCTATATCTATATAGAATTATAACCTGCATGATATATTGTCCAGCATAAGTTCCTGTAATTGTGGAACTTTGGCCCGAGGCTAATAATGCTATGGAATATACAGTTGAGCTTGATTTTCCGAGCACATTCTGCAGATGAATGAAAAATCTAGTTAAATTATTATTCCGAGTTTAATTACATACTTAGATTTTTAATTAGGGTTTTAGAGTGGTTTATACCTTGAGAAGGAAAGCAGCAGAGTTAAGGGTGAGGTCGTTGCACCGGTTGAAGTTGTCCTCTGCGATGTTCTTAGCCGAGCAAACTGAGCCGGATACCGAAATCACTGAGACATTGATTAAAAATGCTACGAAGAGTGCGAATCCACTCTCTATCAAGAAGTATCGACATGCATCCTGCAAAATATTGAAGTGATAGATACATGAGTAAATTTTGCCAACATGTATATTGTATACATATATAAAAGCATACAATTATAGGATGTGATATTTTTTAAGTACTAGTATTAAATATTTCTGTAATAATCATTGTTAAGTTTTTAAAATTGTCTCTTCCTCCCAAACATTTTATACACTTTAATGCCTTTGTTTACCTATTTAACTATAACATTCTAGATAAAAAGTTTTGAATTTAAATATAAAAAGAAATATTTAGTGAGGTTCTATAATTTTCTGTATTAGTGATAATATCAAAAGATAATAATAATTTTTTTTTTTTTTTTAATGTCAAAAGAGAATTGCATGATACATTAGTTATTGCTTTAACATTTGGCATTAGCAAAAAGCCAAAGTTACCCGAAAAAAAAAAAAAAAAAAAAAAAAAAAGGGTTTAAAATTATGAGATCAACAACTTTGTTTAATTTACATGTATGGCAGTTTCAATTTTGATATCACAAATGATTGATTGTTCAGTTTTGTTGTACTTATATATATATGTGTGTGTGTATATATATATATATATGATCAACCCTAGCTTTGATCTTTGAATGCCTTTACGGTCTGTCACTATAAAGTCAATGCTATTCATCAATGGCTTCTTGGGATGCAAAGTAGCGGATAAGAGGTAGGTACAGGTAGAACTCTTGAATCAAGTATTTATTAACATGAGTAAATTACACACACACATTTGCATGAATGTGTGTGGGCACGTGTCTGAATCTCTCTGTACCCATAACCTTTATGTTTGCAATAATGCATGTAGTAGCATTTATGAAATTTATTAAAAATAAATAAATAAATAAATAAATTGTAGCATGTATATATATAAACATATATACCTATGTATATAAATGTGTGGCGTATATGTAATGTAGAAATATTTCCTATAGTTTGGCTTACATTGATGCCCCTGACAGAGTTGGGTATCTTCCTAGAGAGTACAAGAGCTGAGTGGAGAAAAAGGTTATGCCTGTTTAATCCCAAAAAAAAAAAAAAAATAATAATAATAATAAAAAATTGTTAGTAACAATTAAACACATAATGTATATAAAAACTATCAAAAATGATATTGACCAGCGTGTCACGTGTTTATGGAACTAGGATCTTTTCTTGTGCGAGTTTTGTATCGAATACAACAATTGCATAAATATGTTGAATTATCAATTTAATGGTGTTAAAACGTTGCATCATAATATAATATGTTATATGAATACTACATTTTGTGACAGAATCTGCTAAATAGGAGGGGATCCGAATTCGTATTCATGAAATAAAAAGTCGTATAAAAGAGATAAAAGATGAGATCATACGGCATGACAAGGGCACCAAGTAGAGCAATGGCATCCCCGGTTGCGCCTTGACCGGAAAGTTTAGGCACAAACATTCCCTTGAGCACATCAGCTGCAGGAGGCTTCACATAGCTCATTTCTCCAAAAAAACATCCCGCCATGACGAAAACCAGCACCGCGATCAACATTTCTAGCTTCCTTACCTATTTTCATAATCAATTCTCAGCATATATATAATTGTAGCATAAAATGTGGAAATAATGCACAATAATTTGTAAACTTGTTAATCAAAGTGAAAAGGGTCAAAAGTGTCTTTATCTAGCTAGCAAGCTTTTGGTTAGTATATATATGCATGTTCACACTAATTCCAGATTTTCTTCATTTTCTCATGTTTTCCCAAGGACCAAACAAGAATGGGATGGATGCAGCCTTAGAATAAAAATTTAGTGTAGGTAACAACTACAGGACCACTTCAAATTTTAAGGGCCATATGAGACATGGACTTCTAAATTTTAATTCAAGTCTCAGACGAACCCAAACTTGAAGTATCCAAATTGACCAAATTTTTTTTTTTTTTTTTATTTTTTTATGCTCGGGCTAAGCTTAAGTTAGGGTCAAATTGGTCGGATCAAGGGTTATACTCGGAATTGAACCGGGTTAAACTTATATATATATCTATATATATATATATATATATATATATTTAATTTGCTTAGGTTTTAATAATATTGCTATTACATACGAAGTATAATAAAGATCCATTTGAGTTGGACTTGAGTTGTCAAAAACTTTAGCCAGGACAAATGATAAACATAGAGAATTGTATGAGAAGGGTGACTTTAAACAATAATATATATAGTGGGATATAATTAAAAATTGAGTGGGGGTAATTTTAAAAATTTTACAAAAAAAAAAAATAGGGATATTTCTAAATATTTTACAAATTTTATAGATAATTTTTTAATATAAAATAAAATTTAAGTGGGAGCGGTTGCCCCCATTGAACCCTTATTAGGTCCGTGCCTGTGCCACGACCAACAATGAAATGAAATCGAGTTGAGAAAATTAAATACAAGTTCAACTTATAGTTGTTCAATGTCATCCAAAACTTTGGTTAAATTCAATTTGACCAACTCAAGTTGCATCAATAATTGTAGTCTATATATATATTTTTTATTTTTCAAAATAGAAGATCAAATGTTTAAATTCCTACGAAATACTTTCCTAATTTTTAACTAATTATATTCCCTCTATTCCACCATAATTGAGTACTTTGAGAATTGTGATTGACCGGCTCCAATAGTGCCGGATTGAGCTAGTAAACTGTTTGGGGGACACTTAATCACTGAATATAGGAGACAAAGGAAAGGAAATTGATTTCTTAAGTGGTCAATCCTTTCCATCAATAAAGACAGGCCATGCAAATAATGTTAAGACTCTAATTACTGCATAGTTTTGATTATTTTGTCAATGTCACAAATGTTGCTACTATTAGAAAAGTTCACTTCTTCTTCTTCTTCTTCTTCTTCTTCTTCTTCTTCTTCTTCTTCTTCTTTCTTTCTTTCTTTCTTTCTTCTTCTTCTTCTTTTCTTTTTTTTTTTTTTTTTTTTTTTTAAAGGTAAAATTGTCGTATCTGAGATACGAAAAGCAATCCAATTATTAGGATAACACGACACTTATAATGCGAACGGGTCAGTTCTTTTTTTTTCTTTTCTTTTCTTTTTTTTTTTTTTCAAGATAAAAATGTCATACCTGAGGTACGAAAAGCGATCCAATTATTAGGATAACACGACACTTATAATGTGAACGTGGCATGAGATG